GCATGAGTCACCACGTCTGGCCAGTAATTTTTCTTATCTACATTAACAGACTTTTTTTCTGACCATTCTGCATGAGGTGTGTTACTGTGTTGAATCTGTAAGAGGGCACATTTCCTACTAGAAAGCCATTCTATTTTTGGACTTTTCTAATTGGTATAAATATTCTTAAGCCCAGATCTGCCTCCCAATGCTTCTAATTCTGTTCTCTGGGGCCACAGGAAAAACGAAAACAAAAACAAAAACAAACTCTAATCCTGCTTTTATCTGACTGGCCTGAAATTATTTGAGGTCTGCTGTGCTATATACCTTCTCTAGGCTAAACAGTCCCACTTCCTTCAACTGTGCCTCACTCCAACTGTCTCCTCAACATCCTGCTTATTCTTTCACTAAGACTTTCACTAAGACTAATGTGTCTCCTACAGCGAGCACACATGTGACCCGGTAGCAGAGCAGAGTAAGACCATCTCCTCCTGTTTCTATCTGGGATACTCAATTTTAATAAAAGACTTAACAGCATACTTTTGTCGTTCACCACCTTGCACTACTGATAAACTGTGAGCTGCTTTTATCCTTTTTTGTCAGGGAAGACAGGGTCTTGCTCTGTTGCTCGGGTGAGATCATGGCTCACTGTAGCCTCGACTTCTTAGGCTCAGGTGATGCTCCCATCTCAACCTCCTGAGAAGCTGGGACTACAAGAGTGTGCCACCACATCTGGCTAAATATTTGGTAGATATGAGGTTTCGCCATGTCGCCCAGGCTGGTCTCTAACCCCTAAGCTAAGCAATCCTCCTGCCTCAGCCTCCCAAAGTGTTGGGATTATAAATATGAGCCACTATGCCCAGCCAATTGTGAGTTTCTAATTAACAAATCCCCAAATTGTTTTCACATATGTTGCTAAATCCTATCTCCCTTTATGGAGTACAAGCCATCCACCAACTCTTCCCTTTTACATCTTTTCCTTCACCCAGGTCTTTTCCCTATATGCCTGAAGAAGTCCTCAGTATTTACCATTGTGCTGCATGCTACATGCTACGTGTGGCTGACTTATGAATAAATGTGGTAAGGTCTCACATTTATTCTTACTTGATTTCATCATGTCATTTACTCCTTCCATTGCAACCTATTAAGTACTCTTTGGATCCTACATTTTTCATCTGAGAATGCATTCCCTTCTCAAGTTTATGATATATAATTTTTGTTTTGTTTTGTTTTCTGAGACAGATTCTCACTCTTGTTCCCCAGGCTAGGAGTGTAATGGTGCGATCTTGGCTCACTGCAACCTCCACCTCCTGGGTTCAAACGATTCTCCTGTCTCAGCCTCCTAAGTAGCTGAGATTACAGGCACCCACCACCACACCCAGCTGCTAATTTTTGTATTTTTAGTAGAGACGGGGTTTCACCATGTTAGCCAGGCTGGTCTCAAATTCCTGACCTCAGGTGATCCATCTGCTTTGGCCTCCCAGAGTGCTGGAATTACAGGCGTAAACCACCACACCTGGCCATGTTACATAACTTTTATAAGTTGGTGTTGTTTCCAATTCTCAATATCTTTCTCCTATTAATCTGTCCCGTTTTTTTCTCCTAAGTAAGATTCTTGAGGGCAGGCACCTGTGTGTGTGTGCACTTAAAATCTATCTTCAGTATTTAACATGCACTATGGATACCTGAATAATGTGGGTGACTGATCGTGGGAGTCAGATGGCCTCAGGACAATTCCAGAGGACATTACAGAGGGGGTGCAGCCATACTGTATGTACTGTGCGAATATGAGCTCTGAAGCTGTGCGACACAGACACCTGTGATGGAGATGCTATTTTCTGTTTGGGTGGTGGTCCTCATGGAGATCTGGACTCAATAAGGAATAGGTACTCCTTTTTGACAGGCTGCCTACAGTTTCCTATGTGAAATAAGATACCACAAGAAGCCAAGCTCTGGGCATGTCTTGCTTCATCTTAACTCCATGGAGGCTGGTGTACCAGGGCAAGGTAAAACATACCTCCTAAGAAGTGAGATTTAATGCTCTTCAAAGCACTGATGTCATGCTTTGGAAAAAAAAAAACATTATATCCGTACCTGAAGAACCCCCATAGCATATTTTTTTCTCCCCCGCCCTCACAACATATTAAGAAATATAATATACAGACATTCTCTGAGATTTGGGCTGAGGTAGAAAACCATTTTAAGTTGCACGTTCAGGTTCTATGTTTCTGGAGTCCTGAATCACAAACATGGCCCATGTCTCCTAATTAGAGACAAACAAGCTTTGTTAACTAAATTGAACTAACTATTCATAGCTTGGGACAAGGCATAAGTAAGGCGAATGGCTGGCATACAGAACGCCCTTTCTTCACATCTGAACACTAAAAAACATTTTTCAAAACCAACTGTACTGAAATCACACACCGAGCTTATTAAAAATGCAGATTCCAAAACTCAACTTTTTTTCTTTTTTCGAGACTGGGTCTGACTCTGTTGTCCAGGCTGGAGTGCAGTGGCGAGGTCTCCACTCACTACAACCTCTATCTCCTGGGCTCAAGTGATCCTCCCATCTCAGCCTCCCGAGTAACTGGGACTACAGGCACCTGTTACCATGCCCAAATAATTTTTACCTTTTTTTTTTGAGACAGAGTCTCGCTCTGTTGTCCAGGCTGGAATGCAGTGGCATGATCTTAGTGCCCAACCTCCACCTCCCAGGTTCAAGCAATTCTTCTGCCTCAGCCTCCTGAGCAGCTGGGACTATAGGCACATGTCACCACACCTAGCTAATTTTTGTATTTTTTGTAGAGACGAGGTTTTGCCATGTTGGCCAAGCTGGTCTTAAGCTCCTGGCCTCAAATGACCCACCTGCCTTGACCACCCAAAGTGCTGGAAGTACAGGTGTGAGCCACTGTACCTGGCCTGATCTTTGTATTTTGTTTAAGAGATGAGTTTCACTATGTTGGCCAGGCTGGGCTTCAACTCCTGGCCTTAAGTGATCTGCCGCCCTTGGCCTCCCCAGCACGTGGAATGAGCCACAGTACCCGACTGTTTTTTTTCTTTTTACCCAACACTACTCCTTGGCTATGGATTCTATTTTCAATTCAATATATTAGTATTTCTTGAGGTAGGGCCTTAGAATGTGTACTTTTAAACATTTTATTTTATGAGACAGGGTTTTGCTCTGTTACCTAGGCTGGAGTGCCGTGGTGTGAACATGGCTCATAGAAGCCTCAACCTACTGAGTAAGCTGGGACTACAGCCGCACACCATCATATCCAGCTAATTTTTAAAAAATATTTTGTAGAGATGGGGTCTTGTGATATTGCCCAGGCTGGTCTTGAACCCCTAGGCTCAAGAGATTACCCTTCTTCGGCCTCCCTAAGTGCTGGGATTACAGGTGTGAGCCACAATGCCCAGCCAGAATGTATCCTTTAGGTAAGTGTTCCATGTACTTATGAACACAAAGTTTGAAAATTATCGCTTTAAAGGATGGAAGGTTAGGTCAAGGTGGTCACACAATTTTAGTAGACTCTTCAAAATGCAACTCTTTGTTTTTCAAAGGTGCAAACACTACTACTATATGTGTTTTTTAGACAGGGTCTTGCTCTGTCACCCAGGCTGGAGTACAGTGGCATGACCAAGGCTCACTGCAACCTTCAACTCCTGTGCTCAAGTAATCCTCCTGCTTCAACCTCCCAAGTAGCTGGGACTACAGTCATGTGCCACCATGCCCAGCTAATTTTTGAATTTTTGTTTTTGTAGAGACAGGACTTCACTATGTTGCTAGGACTGGTCTCAAACTCCTGGCCTCAAGTGGTCCTTCTGCTTTGGCCTCCCAAAGTGTTGGGGTTACAGCTGTGAGCCACTGCACCCAGCCTACCTTATATTTTTCATGATACTTTTAGGATCTAGAAATCCTCAGCACTCTATGATGCAGTTACTACATCCAAATGAAGTAGATGAGGAAACTGAAATTCAAATAAATTAAATGACATTCTCAGGAAAGCTAAGATCTGAAGCCAGATAAAATCCCCTCCCTCATTTGAGGCTCCTACCAGCTCACCAGAGCCACCTTCCCTGAAGATTGCCATCAGCCCTCCAGGACACAGCAAAACCTGCTGCATGCTTCACTCACCCTTCACAGCTACAGCTAACACCCAGAGAATGGCTACTACATGCCAGGCACCATGCTTTACACGAACCAACTCCTTTGATCTCCACAACCACCTGATGAAGGAGATGCCGTCACTACTTCAATCGTAGAGATGAGGAAATTAAGGCTCAGAGCAGTAACCTGCTCAGGTCATGCAGCTAGTAAGTGCAGGACCTGCCCACAGCTTTCCATGATCCAGAACATTCACATGTGCTTCCCACAGAGGCCCTTACAATCTCCACAGGGGAAAGATCTGTTCTAGCCTGGAAATTCAGAGAAGAGAAAAGGGCAGCCTCTCACAGATGATCTCTTGAAGACTGGACTCTTTCTGGGCTTGGTGCACTTCTGTGTCTAGGAAATGCCATGGGTCTAGGAAAAAGCAGGGCCTAGTGGAATGACTGTGTCATGGTCTCCTAACCTGTGTGCTCTTGGGCAAATTACTGAACCTTGTCTGTTAAATTTTGATAATTCTGAAGATCTATTCCTAGTCCTTTAAAAAATTTTATTGTAAACTGACAATTTGTGTATATTTACAAGGGTACAAAGTGATACTTTATTTTATGAATACAATGTGTAATAATTATATCCAGCAATTAGCATATTCATCACCTCAAATACTTATCATTTTATTGTAGTGAGGAAATTTGAAATTTATTCTCTTAAAGGAATTTTGTTTTTTGTTGTTTTGCTTGTTTTCTTGAGACAGGGTCTTGTTCTGTCACCCAGGTTGGAGTGCAGTGGTATGATCAAGGCTCACGGCAGGCTTGACTTTCCAGGATCAAGCGATTTTTCTGCTTCAGCCTCCCAAGTAGCTGGGACTACAGGTGTGCACCACCACACCCCACTAATATATATATATATATATAAATTTTAGAGATGGGGTCTCACTATGTTGCCCAGGCTGGTTTGAACTCCTAGTCTCAAGTGATCATCCTGCCTTATGCTCCCTAAGTGTTGGGATTACAGTTGTGAGCTACCACACCTGGCCTCTTAAAGCAATTTTAAATGTACAGTACTGTATTTTTATATTCACCATGCTGTTCAATAGATCTCAGAAAAACACACGCCCATCTTTCTCTCTCCTGTGGAAGTGGGGCTTTGCACCCTTTGACCATCATCTCCCCATTCCCCAGCCTCTGTAGCCACCATTCTACTCTCCACTTTTATGAGCTGGACTCTTTCAGATTCCACATGAAAGTGAAATCATATTGTGTGTGCCTTTCTGTGCCTGGCTTATTTCACTTAGATAATGCTCTTCAATTCCAACCATGCTGTCGAAGAGACAGAACTGCTGTCTTTTTGAAGAGTGACTAGTACTCCACTGTGTGTATGTATCACCTTTTCTTTATGCGTTCATCTGCTGATGACACAGACTCATTCCATCACTTGGTTATGGTGACTAGTACTGCAGTAAACCTGGGAGCCCACACGTCTCTTCAACCAGCTGATTTCAAATCTTTTGGGTGAATGCCCGGAAGTGGGATTACTCTCTTTCCATTCTTACAGGTTTCTGTGATTCTGGGCAGTCGTCTTGGAAAGAAAAAAGGATTGTTCTGTCACAGCGGACAGTGCCAAGAGCTGGGCTTGGCCTTTGTGGAAGGGTTGAAGATTCAGAATGTGAACTAACAGTGAGAGGCTAAAGATGATTCTGATGGAAAAGCATGGTACAGGTTACTCTCTATGATCAGCCACTCAGGAAGACCTGGAGGGTTTTATGGAATCATTAGCACAGAGCTCCCCTCTGGCTACAGAGCAGAGAAGAAACAGCAAACCAGTTTATAAAGCTCCAGAGCGGAAAATTTCTCTTGGTGTCCAAACTAAATTTTTGGCTTTCTGTGAAGCTTGGAAAGACTTATACTGATGTTTTAATCACCTGTTTAGTGTTCTGAGGACTCTTGTCAGTGGCCTCACTGAGCTTGCTCCAGCAGGCAGCGGGGAACAGCTGGCTCTCACCCATGCTCTTCTTGTGAGCTGTTTAGTTCCCATGGCCATCTCCAACACCCTGTAGCTCCCTTCCGGCCACTTGGAGGGTATAAGCCAAAACTGTGAGCCCTACAGGAGACTGAGGGCACTCTATTGGGCTAACTTATCATCAGATCTAAAGTCAGGAAAGACTCTTTAATAAGAGCCACAGTGCAAAGAGGCAAGTAGTAATTTCAAGATGAGTTTGCCAGCAACACCTCTGTGGTGGCACAGAGGAAGTAGGCTTGCCTTCTAGGAGAATCACCATCAAGACATTCCTTTTTTTTTTCCCCCAGTCAGAATATTGCTCTGTCGCCCAGGCTGGAAAGCAGTGGCAGGATCTTGGCTCACTGCAACCTCTGCTTCCCAGGTTCAAGTGATTCTCCTGCCTCAGCCTCCAGAGGAGCTGGTATTACAGATGTGCGCCACCATGCCTGGCTAGTTTTTGTATTTTTAGTAGAGATGGGGTTTCACCATGTTGGCCAGGCTGGTCTTAAACTCTTGACCTCGTGATCCATCTGCCTCAGTCTCCCCAAAGTGCTGGGATTACAGGCGTGAGCCACCGCGCCTGGCAGTTTTGAACTTTTATACTAAATGTAAAGTCCATCACAAGGACAGGAAAATGGAAATCAAAACTCCCTCCTGACACTTGGCACCCAAAAGCTCCACAAATCTGTCAATCCAAGTAACTTCTACTTTGTAAGCAAAAGGGTGTGTTATTTATCTGGCAATGCTTGATCTTGGAGAAGGTATGAAGGAAGAGAGGAAAGAGAGTAACAGTTTACTTCTCGCTGGAAAAACCAGACTTGAGGAGGAGATACTGATTTCTGATTGAGTTCTCAGAGAGTACTTCTCTGCCATAGAATTTTCCCTTTCCATCTCACCACCTTTCTTCTTGCCTCTTTTCTTACCAAGGAAAGTTTCTTCAAACTGTTGTCTCTGGCTGAAAGTTAACTTCTCTTTGGCCAAAGCACTCTCTGCATGCCATTGTTCCATGCCCTGTTATGCCACAGTTCAAGCAGATAAGCCACCAACATGGCTTTTAATAAAGGAAGGGAGGGGGTCTCTCAAGGGAACTCTGCTTACTGAGGGAAAAGAGTCCTACAGCAGCAAAGACCACATACTACCCTTCCTCGGTGACCTCAGAGGAATCTATTTACAAAGGCCATAGTTAGAGAGAAAAAAGAGTGAGAAGGAAGGGAAAGAGGGAGACCATGACCAGAGAGGTCTTACGTTCCACAGGAATAACCCTGAGGACAAGGAAAGACTGTCCTGTCACCAGGGCAAAATTAACCAGACCCAGCTGATTAGGAGAGAGGGAAGGAGGATGCTGGGATGAATGGGGTGAAGCTTCCAGCCACTACACACATGGGGGAATGCAGGAGGAAAATGTTCCAAAGCTGATGACAAGGCAGACAGGAAACCTCCATGTCCTTGCTGACAGGAAAGAAAGTGAAATTCTGGGTCTTTGTGCAGGATTTCTTTTTCTTTTTTTTTTTTTGAGATGGAGTCTCATTCTGCCCCCGAGGCTGGAGTGCAATGCGTAATCTTGGCTCACTGCAACCTCCGCCTTCTGGGTTCAAGCGACTCTCCTGTTTCAGCCACCCGAGTAGCTGGGATTACAGGCGTGTGCCACCATGCCTGGCTATTTGCGTATTTTCAGTAGAGATGGGGTTTTGACATATTGGCCTTGCTGGTCTGGAACTCCTGACCTCAGGTGATCCACCCACCTCAGCCTCCCAAAGTGTTGAGATTACAGGCATGAGCCACCACGCCTGGACTCTATGCAGAATTCCTAATCGGCATCCAAAGTTCCCTGTCTTCCCGTGGGTGTGCTGGCAGCTGGGAATATTGCCCTTTGGGTCAGGCAAGGCAGGGATCTTGGCCTCTCAGGATTCATGAAGAGGTTCAGTAAAGACTGAAACCATGAACTCAAACACAAACGGGGACTGTCATTTCCTGCTGGGTTTCCATGCTGTAAAAAGGTGGGGAGAGATGCCAGCTACGAAGTACTATGTCTTCTGTGGAAAATGGAGTACGCAGTGGATCTGGCTCCAGCTACCGACTTGTAACTCTAAGTGAGAACTAGTTGTTAGCTGCTAGAGGATTACAGTGTTAAAGAGACATTCTACCACCCAACCTGCTGCCTTTATGCTCACAGTCTGTGGACTTCTAGGGAGCTACTGACAAAGTTGTCTTGAGCTTCCATAAGAAGGGCAGTCTTGGGCTGGGGCAGCTTCTTCAGGGCCCCAGTTCACTGCCCTGTGTTCTTAAACCGCTCTGAGGGAAAAAGCCATCTGTGAGGGTTATTTAACTTGGAGCTGGAAGAGGGTGAGGATGTGGAAAAAATAAACTGAGCAGTCAGTGGATGGGGCCAGAGAGAGAGAGAGAGAAGGCAGGTGGCATGTTCATGGGACTACATGCCAGGGCCAAGCGGGGTGGGGCTGCAGAAAGGAATGGTGCCGAAAGGAGGCCAGCATGGGAGGGGCTGGAACACCCAGGACAGCATCATTTTATTTCCAAAATGGTATTTTGTTGTTCTCCTTCAAGGGCATTCAAGCCCTCACTTCAGGGTTTCCATTTATGAGGGCATCCTGGAATGGTATAACTAAACACACCTGCCTTGCCTTCTGAAAAGCTACCTGAACCTTGCCTAATTTCTGAATTTCAGCCTACAAGGTAAATCTAACAGGTTTTTTTTTTTTTTTTTTTTTTTTTACATCCAATGCCTCAAAATAATGGCAACAGCTAAGAGGGTGGAAAACAGAAATAATGAAGGATTAGAGAGAATTCGCATGATTTACAGAAAATAGCTACAGAAACTACAGGATGATCCAGAAAGAAAGATGGGAATTTGGTGTATGACTGAATTGTAATGGGACCTCTTTGGAGTCTTCTTAACCGCTCCCCAACCTCCAGCCTCCGCTATGAAAACAAATATTGAAATTTTCATTTTTAAAAATTTGCCAGGCGCAGTGGCTCATGCCTTTAATTCCAAGATTCTGAAAGGCCGAGGCAGGCAGGTAACTTGAGGTTAAGTGTTCAATCAGCCTGGCCAACACAGTAAAACCCCATCTCTACTAAAAATACAAAATTAGCCGGGCATGGTGGCACACACCTGTAGTCCCACCTACTCAGGAGGCTCAGGCAGGAGAATTGCTTGAACCCGGGAGGCAGAGATTGCAGTCAGCCGAGATTGTGCCATTGCACTCCAGCCTGGGCCACAAAGCAGACTATCTCACACACAAAAAAATTCTGGGCCAGGAGTGGCAGCTCATGTCTGTAATTCCAGCAGTGAATAAAACAATGTTCCTGTTCTCCTAGAGCTTAACATTTTTGTGAGACTGAGAGTAATAAGCAGACAGTAGTGGAAAGTACTGTGAAAAAAGAGTAGGGTAAGAGAAACAGAGAGTGACAGGGTGAGGAAGAGTATTGCTATTTTATATAAGATGGTGAACAGAAGACCCTAAGAAAGGTAACATTTAATCAGACTTGAAAGAGTAAGCCGCAAAAAAAAGAGGTCCTTCTTTATTTGTGACAGGGTCTCGCTCTGTTGCCCAGGTTGCAGTACAGTGGTGTGATCACAGCTCATAGCAGCCTCAATGTCCTGGGCTCAAGGGATCCTCCTACCTCAGCCTCCCGAGTAGCTGGGACCACAGGCGCCTGCCACCAGGCCTGGCTAATATTTTATAGAAACAGGGTCTCCCTATATTGCCCAGGTCTTGAACTCTTGGTTCAAGGGATCCTCCTGCCTTGGCCTCTGGGATTACAGGCGTAAGCCACCATGTCTGGCCTGGGAGGTTCCTAGAGTAGACTTCCTGGGTGGGTGACTGGAGCATCACGGATTTCCTTCTCTTATCGAAGGGCCTGTTAGCTACACAGAGTGGAGGAAGGAGAACAGGCTTTTCTAGCTGAACCCGGTGAAAGGAGAGGCCTTTGAGCGTTTATGTAGCTTGCACACCCCCTCCATGCAGTTTCTGGAAAGTTTCCATGACAGATGAGGGTTTTATGTTGAATTTTAAGTTTGACCACAAATATTTAAACTTCCCTGGACCACAAATACAGCATCTTCTCTGTGGTTTATCTGGCAGCAAGTACATATTTACAAATCTCTATATGTCTGTCTGTTATTTAAATTTCTTACAGAAGTGCCAAGGTCTTTAGCTGTGATTTGCCTCTCCCTGTCCATAATTGGTAGGTATAGACTTGATTAGGCCTAATTCTTGGGAAAAGGAGGTATCTTTACAATTGAAGCTTAGGGTCTTCCTAGTTAAATTTCCTATTACTGCTTTCCTCTTCAAAAAAAATATCAATGGTTCTGTTCCAAGTTCTTGTATCTGAATTGAAACGTAAAAACTTGCTGGGCGCGGTGGCTCACAAGGTCAAGAGATCAAGACCATCCTGGTCAACATGCTGAAACCCTGTCTCTACTTAAAATACAAAAAATTAGCTGGGCATGGTGGCGCGTGCCTGTAGTCCCAGCTACTCAGGAGGCTGAGGCAGGAGAATTGCCTGAACCCAGGAGGCGGAGGTTGTGGTGAGCCAAGATCGCGCCATTGCACTCCAGCCTGGGTAACAAGAGCGAAACTCCGTCTCAAAAAGAAATGTAAAAACTGAATTTTTTTGGTGCTTTTTTTATCCATTAGAGAATTGAAAATAAAACTGAAAGCTGAACAAATCTGCATACTTGAGCTGTATTAAAAAGCAAAACAACAAACAAAAAACACCAGGTATAATGAGTGCTAAACTTTTTTTCTGAGACGGACTCTCACTCTGGTGCAATTTTCTGAGACAGACTCTCACTCTGGTGCAATCTCAGCTTACTGCAACCTCCGCCTCCCCGGCTCAAGCTATTGATCCCCCTGCCTCAGCCTCCTGAGTAGCTGGGACTACAGACATGCATCACCATGCCTGGCTAATTTTTGTATTTTTGGGAGAGATGGGGTTTCACCATGTTGGCCAGGCTGGTCTTGAACTCCTGGCTTCAAGCAACCCACCCACCTCGGCCTCCTAAAGTGCTAGAATTACAAGCATTAAAAAATAATAATTTTAAAAAAGAAAAAAATGGATGGATGGATGAATGGATGGAAAAGAGGGAGAGAAAGACATAAACAGATAACATGGTGAGAAATATACAGTAAAATGAGAATGAGAGCATCCAGGTATTGGGTATAAGTGAGCTCACTGTAGAATTTTTAACTTTGCAGTATAATAAAACGTTGGAAAATCAATCACATCACTAAAAAGAAAAAGACAATATTTGGAAGCACTGGAGATAGTTGATTAAAAAAGAAAATCTGCCTCTATCCCTGTTGCCATCACTGAACAGTTGTCACGTGGTCAAGGAAAACACAGTGTCAGAAGGCTGGCTTTGCCATGAAAAGAAGTCTTCAGCTGACTGTGTGCTAACACTGGATCTCATGTAAATCTCCCAATTCTAAAGGCTGGACATGTTTAAAATGTAGACGCAGTTTCCACATCCACAAGGCAGGACGAAGAACAGGAGATATAAATCTAGCTCCGGCAGTGGGTGAGGAGGGGCAATGGTGAAGCTAAGTTTGAAGCCGCCAGTCACTTACAGCCTCTCAAGCTCCAGTAGTTCTGTGTCTGGACGTCAGCCCCATATACTGGCTTAAAACCTCAAGAAACTAGAAGATCTCACCAGTGGGAGCAGCCAGAGCAGCTGAAACATGTCCCTGTAAACAATAAATGTTTATCTGGGCAGATAACCTGGCAGATAGCCTCATTCTGATCTTAGGCAACTTGAAACTCCACAACAGGAGGCTGAGCACAGAGGGGCCCCTTCCTCTTTGCCACACGGGTAGGAAGCAGAGATGGAAGGTGGTCCTGGCTCCTACCATGAGAGAGGTGGCAGAAAGCCACTCTCTGTAAATGCCAACTTCTTTCCTACTGGACAATGGCCAGATTTCCTTAAACACAGAGGGTGGGGACAGAAAAGTCAAGTCAACCAACACTAAACAATGCTAACGCATAAAGCTGGCTGTTGCACCACAGCCCTGAAGGTATGAGGAGCTCTGGCGTGTCTGGCTGCTGCCACAGGAACCGCACTGGCGAAGGGCTTCCCCAGGCCTGGGTGGGATGCCTGTCACTGACTCTGGCCACACACATAGGCTCAGTCGCCACCTCAGTCAGTGGCAAACAGCTGCTGAGAGGGGAGGGGTAGACCCAGGGGTGCTGTGTGCTATACAGCCAGCCACTTTTGGAGACTCCAAACAATATTCATAAGAGCCATATGGCTTAAACTCCACGGAGGCACCAGGCAAAAGGCCGTACAAGGAAAAGAGGCAGCTGGAAGGAAGGAATGAAGTGTGTTGATGGCACAGAAACTCCTTTCACTGACAACTCTGCAAACAATTGCACTACCAGTTCTGAAACCCAATCCCTAACTGATGGATTCAGTCTTGGCACTGGTTATTCCTCCCACGTACATGCCTGTGCCCATACTCTTCCCGGAAGGAGAGGGGATAGGGAAGTGAGACCCCCAGTGTGCCTAAAGGGAGGTTCAGCCCTTATTCAGAAGACTCCTAAGTCCTCTCCCCGGAAAAAGAATGGAGATGGAATGCCAAAGGCTCCTTGCTCTGAAACAGCACCGAAGTGCAGCCCAGCAGAGCAGGGTGTGGGTCTTGGGTGGAGTCCAGAGGAGTGTGTGTGTGTGTATATGTTTGTGCTCATCTGGTTTTTGTTGGGGGAAGGTGACAATTCATTCTTTTGATTTTATTCAACTTATAGCTGCATTTCTAATCACTTCCTGAAAACACAGTAGGAAGAGAGTGGTATTTGCTTGCCCCACCCTCCTTTTAACACTGCCCCAGCAATCCAACTATGTGCTTAGAGGCGAGGCCAGCTTTTTGCCTTTGGCAGCACTGAAGGCCAGACATTACCAGCACTCCCGTGTACAGATCAAGGCTCCACCCAAATCAGACTGCACACACTGAATCCAAGAGGAATATCATTCTAGAACAACAACCCAGGAGAGAGAGAGGAGAGCTGTGGAGGCTGGGTGGGACAGTTGGGACACTTCTAAGTTCTGACACCAGGACACCCAAGAGGTTGGCACAGGCATTTTGGTAGTGCAGTGACAGATCAACTGCAGTGTGGAAAATCCCAAATGTAAAGAAGCTATCTCTGTACAAAGAGAGAGGTGAGAATAAGGGTGGGGTACAGGCCGAAGGGCAGTAAGGTAGAGAAATCAGTTTTAGAGAATTGGCTAACTACTGGGCTACTCCAATTCTGAATACACAAGTGATACTTTAGCTTCTCTTCAGGAGACTGATGTAGAGTAGCTATGGGCAGGCCAGGAAACCAAGTTCCATTTCTGGTCTAAAGTGGACTGGAGGGTTCTTCTGTAGGAGAGTCATAACAGTATATAAGATACCATAAACCCACTGCTCCTGGCTGTCCAAGGCCAAAGGCATCTTCTTCCTGGAGAGCTGTGTCTCTTACCCTCTAGGCTCTAAGACTCTCTATTTGACTTCAGAAGGTTTCCTGTTTACTCTGAGATCTGCAGATCTCTGCAGGGACCTTCAGAGAGCAGCTAGGGAAGGGGACAGCAGGGAGACGGCTGTGAACAGCACTAAGGACACAGGTCTTCTGCATCCTACCACTACCTTTTACATGGCAGGAAAACGAATGGACACTGAAAGGGGGTTTCCTGGTCTAGTTATTTACAGCTTTTATTCTTTATTTTCTGTTTCTAATGTGTAGGCATCTTTTAGATTCTTGACTCTCAAGGAAAATGGAAGGTGGAGTGCAACCACAACTGGCACCTAAAGGCATTTTTTTGCTGCTGTTCCCATGAGAACAGCATCGGAATGATGAACAAGGTATATTGCTATAAAATAATCAGCATCTCCATTTGGAGAAGGAATTTCTTTTAAAAAAAACAAATAGAAAGAAGCAGAAGGAGTTCCATTTCTGCCAGAGCAGTCTACTTTTTGCTAATTTCTTGGAAAACAAGAGGTTCTCTTTAGCTCTGGAGAAAACCAGACATTTCCTTTTTTCCTTTTTTTTTTTTTTAAATAGAGATGGGGTTTCACCATGTTGGCAAGGATGGTCTCAATCTCCCGACCTCGTGATCCACCCCCCTCGGCCTCCCAAAGTGCTGGGATTACAGGCGTGAGCCACCGCGCCCGGCCGAAAACCAGACATCTCCAAAGGGAAAACAAAGAAGGAAACAGAGTCTGATGTGGCAAGACTTACAGCCTTCTTGTATCTCTGAGACAGAGATGACCTGGAGGCACCCAAACCCCCTATTTATTCACCCTTCTAACCATGTGTTCATGTAATCCAGACATCCTGAGACAAGCGATGACTGAGATACTATAAGGCCTCTGAAGATGTCACTACAATCCTATGGTTTAGGAAGAAAAGAAAATCTGACGGTAATTCTCTGGAGCTGTGCTGGCCTACAGGAGGACCATTAGCTATAACATGGCCAAATTTAAATTTCCTAAAACAGAATATAATTAAAAATAAAGTTTCAATAAATGGAAAGACATCCTGTGTTCATGAATTGGAAGACTCAATATTGTTAAGCTAACAATAGTAACCAAAGCAATCTACAGATTCAGCACAATGAATTACCAGCATGAGCCATTGTACCCTCTGGGGGGCCAAAGTGGGTAGATCACTTGAGGTCAGGAGTTGGAGACCAGCCTTGTCAACATGGCAAAACCCCATCTCTACTAAAAATAAAAATACAAAAATTAGCTGGGTGTGGTGGTGTGCACCTGCAGTCCCAGCTACTTGGGAGGCTGAGGGATGAGACTTGCTTGAATCTGGAAAGTGGAGGTTGCAGTGAGCTCACATTGCGCCACTGCACTTCAGCCTGGGCGACAGAGTGAGACTCTGTCTAAAAAAAAAAAAAATTCATATGGAATCTTAAGGGACCCCCCAAATAGCCAAAATAATGTTGAAAAAGAACAAAAGTTAGATGGCTCATGCTTCTGGATTTCAAACTTACTGCAAAACTATACTAATCAAAATGGTGTGGTACTGGCATAGAATAGAAGAGAAAACCTAGAAGTAAACTCTCATAAATACACAACTGACTTTTCACAAGTCTGCCAAGACCAATTCCAGTCTTTTCAACAAAAAGAGCTTTAAAAAACCTAGATATTCCCATGCAAAAGAATGAAGCTGAATCCTTACCTAACACCATATACAAAAACCAATTCAAAACTAAAAAGAGCTAAAACTAGAAAACTCTTAGAAGAAAGCATAAGGGAAAATCTTCATGACACTGGATTTAGCAATGGTTTATTGGATGTGACATCAAAAGCATAGGCAATAAAAGAAAAAAAATAAGAAGCAGGCCAGGGGCAGAGCCTCATATTTATAATCCCAGCACTTTGGGAGGCCGAGGTAGGCAGATCACTTGAGGTTAGGAGTTTGAGACCAGACTGGCTAACATGGTGAAACCCTGTCTCTACTAAAAATACAAAAATTTGTGGGCAGGCCCCTGTAATCCCAGCTATTTGAAAGGTTGAAGCACAAGAATCACCTGTGCCATTGCACTCCAGCCTAGGCAACAAGAGCGAGACTTCGTGTCAAAAAAAAAATAATTGTTGAAATTGTAAATCTTTTTTTTTTCTCTTTAAATACACACTTTATTAGATCCACAGGCGATATAATCCCAGAACTACTGTTAGGCACGTAAATATAGGCCCTGCTAAATACAAGCTTGTGGGCCTCGAGCATGGTTTTGAGGCCAGCAACCTCAGTTTCCATCTTCCTATCTGTGTGGGTGAGGGACCAATCTTGCTGGGCATGCAATGTCACTATTTCTGTTCTCAATTCCACAGCTTCCTTTCATTCAGTGAATGCAATTCTTTTACTCTGCTCTTTTCTACGTTGAAGTCTAATTTGTTATTTGTCCGGACTCTGATCACTTCATCCATTACTTGCTGTTTTAGCTGATGTAGTTCAAGTTTTATTTTTTTCATTTTCTGTTCTGAGAGATGAAAATTCACTCTTCTCCAAAATAATCATATCCTTTTTCACATTCACAATCTGAGACATTATCTGCTGAAGAGTCATCTCCTGCTGTATCTTGGTGACCGTATTTTTGTAGACGATGTCCATGTTGGCCTCCAAGATCTTGACCAATGTAGACACAATGATTTCTGCTTGTTTAGTAGCAAATCCACTGTCTTCCAGTAAGCACACTAAGGTATGAGTGTCAAAACAGAGCCTCCTACTCCCAGAAGAGATGAAATCTCTCCTTTTGTGCTCCAACTGCAGGTATCCAGTAGACAGGCTTAGCTCTCTCCTCCAGGAAGTAAGTGTGGGTGCCAGGCACATCCACATGCTGCTGCACCCAGACAAGTACCCAAGGCATGAGAGCTCCCAGTCCCCCAGCAGCTGGCATTGGGCGGTGGCAACTAAGCGTGAGGAGGGCACGAAATGCCAAATCTCATGTTGTATATATTTTACCGCAATTAAAAAAAATAATTTCTTCAGGTACACCAGCCACATTTCACGTGCCCAACAGCTGCATGTGGCCAGTAGTTATCATACTAGACAGTGTAGAGTGGAACATTTTTACCACTGCAGAAAGTTCTACTGGATAGCACTGCTCCAGTTAGATTAAAAACCACCGGATTCTGATTTCAACAATACTAACCTAGATACCACTCTAACTGCCTTATGCTTTATACTGTATGCCACTAACCTGCCTATTTGTTATTCTAGCAGCCTCTCCAACCATTGTATACCCACTATTGTAAACTTGTGGCCTGGCACTTTGGGAGGCTGAGGCTGGTAGGTAGATCACCTGAGGTCTGGAGATTGAGACCAGCCTGACCAACATGGTGAAACCCGTCTCTACTAAAAATACAAAAATTAGCCAAGTGCAGTGGTGGGCACCTGTAATCCCAGCTACTCAGGAGGCTGAGGCAGGAGAATCACTTGAACCCAGGAGGTGGAGGTTGCAGTGAGCAGAGAATGCACCACTGCATTTCAGCCTGGCTCACAAAGTGAGACTCCATCTCAAAATAAAAAAAAAGAGAGAGAGATTCTCTCTCTTTAAGAGTTGTGATTTTCACTAGCACTGATGTTCACTGAGCTGCATATGACAATATCCTGAATGCTGTACAGATGTAGTCACCATCTCCTCAAACATGTTACGTCCCCAAAGGTTTCCTTTCTCATCTTTCTCATTTTAATCACAGGAGCTCAACCTTCCTAGTTGTTTAGCCCCTAGAAAGACATTCAGCCCTTCCCTTCTTCACCTTCATTATACTTACACAAATACTGAGCCATATTGCAATGCTACTCTCACTTTCCATTACTGCTGCTGTTAGTCTAAACTAGATTCTCATCACTGCAACTTCATAGATTACAGCTACTCTATAACTCACCTCTTCTGTTACTGATTCTCTTCTCCTAAAGTCTGCTGCCAGATGTGATTCCCTAAGACCGCGAATTGTTCTACCTAAGGAGATAATATAAGGTCCAAGGAGACTGATCTATTCTAATGTGACCCCACCTACTTCTAAAATCAATCCCACAACTCTCCCAAAAGGTAAGGTTGTCCTTTTAATACAGTATACTGACGTTTAATACAGAAACTGCAAGTTTCTCCTTCTGTATTCCCCTAGCACAATGAATAGTATAACACATACACTTTTTCAAATAGTAATCCCATGTCACGCCTGTAATCTCAGCACTTTGGGAGGCTGAGGCAGGTGGATCAGCTGATGTTAGGAGGTGGAGACCAGCCTGGTCAACATGGTGAAACTCTGTCTCTAATAAAAATACAAAAATTAGTTGGGCGTGGTGGCATGCACCTGTAGTCCCAGATACTCGAGAGGCTGAGGCAAGAGAATCCCTTGAACATGGGAGGCAGATATTGCAGTGAGTCGAGATCGCAAAACTGCACTCCAGCCTGGGCAACAGAGCAAGATGCATTCTCAAAAAAAAAAAGAAAGAAAGAAAGAATAAATGGCATGTAAGCAGCAGAGTAAAAACCTTTAAGAAAATGAAAGAAATATGTTCTCTCTCGTGAAACAACTATGAGTCAAAAATATGTTCATTTTGAAGGTTGGGAGAGTACACTGGACTATTTCAGGAAGAAAGTGATAGTTTTAAACTAGAAATTTATTACAAGGATGGGCAGGGTGGCTTACACCTGTAATCCCAGCACTTTGGGAAGCCAAGGCAGGTGGATAGTTTGACCCCAGGACGGTGAAACCCCATCTTTACTAAAAATATAAAAAATTAGCCAGGTGTGGTAGCACACACCTATAGTCTCAGTTACTCAGGAGGCTGAGGTGGGAGGGACCAGTCCAGGGAGGTCCAGGCCATAACTGCACCACTGTACTCCAGCCTAAGCAATGGGAATAAGAACTTATTATCATTATTATTACTTTATTGCATTTTAGGTTTTGGGGTACATGTGAAGAACATGCAGGATTGTTGCAAAGGTTCACACATGGCAGTGCAATTTGCTAAGAACTTAGTATTTTCTAAAAATTATTAATGTATAACCCCATATAAACAGGTTAAAAATAAAAATGACATGATCATCAACAGATTAAGAAAAAAATACTTAATAAAATCCAACTCTCATTTGTGATTTTTTAAAAAAAATACATAGCAAGGAATAGAAGTGAATGTTCTTAACCTGACAAGACATACTTATCAGAAATTTATAGGCCAGGCGCAGTGGGTCACACCTGTAATCCCAGCACTTTGTGAGGCTGAGGTGAGTGGATCACCTGAGATCAGGAGTTTGAGACCAGCCCAGCCAACATGGTGAAACCGTTTCTACTAAAAATACAAAAATCAACCGGGCGTGGTGGTACGCACCTGTAACCTCAGCTACTCAGGAAGCTGAGGCAGGAGAACTGCTTGAACCTGCGAGCAGAGATTGCAGTGAGCTGAGATCACACCACTGCCCTCCAGCATGGGTGACAGAGTGAGACTCCATCTCAAAAAAAAATTATGACAAGTAGATTTAATGAAGTAACTTTAGAAGCACTGCTATTAAAGTTAGAACCAAAGGAAGAATTTCTGTTATTATGGTCACTATTATAGAACTAATAAGACAGTTCAGTAAGGTTGATATAAGTTGAAGAGAAAGAAACAGCATTTATATTCATACTGTTAATAGTTAACTAGAAAATATGATACTTAAATTAGTAACAAAAACTATGTAAGGGTTTTATGGGAAATATTAAAAAACATCCTTGAAGGGCATAAAAGAAGACCTGAATAAATTAACGGTATATCATGTTCATGGATGGGAAGACTAAATATTGTTAATATGGCAATTGCTCACTGGCTCACTGGAACAGAACACAGAACTAGGAAACAGGGAAACCTGCTTTACAAAAATAAATTCCAAATGGAACAAAGATGTAAATGTAAAACTAAAACAAAAACCAAACTTTTAGAAAAACCTAAAGTAAAACTAAAATTTTTAGAAGAATATGTTGGTATATATTCTTTATGACCTCAGGGTATGTAAAGTTTCCTTTTTTTCCATGTAAAATTGCAATTATTCTTGGTAATATTGTAACCTAACAACAAAGTGGTTTTTAGAAAAAAAGATCAAATGGATCAGGGGTGGTGGCTCCTGCCTGTCATCCCAGCACTTTGGGTGGCCGAGGTGGCTAGATCACCTGACGTCAGGAATTTGAGACCAGCATGGTCAACAAGGTAAAACTCCGTCTCTACTAAAAATACAAAAATTAGCTGGGCGTAGTGTTGGGCACCTGTAATCCCAGGTACTCGGGAGGCTGAGGCAGGAGAACTGCTTGAACCGAGGAGGCAGAGGTTGCAGTGAGCCAAAATCGCGCCACTGCACTCCAACCTGAGCAACAAGAGCAAGACTCCCTCTTCAAAAACAAGATCAAATAATAAAGTCTTGTAAAGAGATAAAAGTAGACCCTTTTACCCCACCGAATTATAAGCTCTGGCTTATTATTAGGACAATTGATTTTCATCTACAATAAAACTTTAAGCATATTTGCTATTAAATGCATGCCAGTGGTCCTGTTTTAATTAAAATTTTTTATTATGGAAAATCTCAAACATATATAAAAGGAGAGACTAGTATCATAAATAAACCTGATAACATCGTCTAGCTTCAACAATCATCAATATATGGCCAATACTGCACACTTAGGATTTCTTTTTTTTTTTTTTAGAGAGTTCTGCTCTGTTGCCCAGGCTGGAGTGCAGTGGCACCACCTCGGCTCACTGCAACCTCCACTTCCTGGGTTCAAGCAATCCTCTTGCTTCAGCCTCTGGAGCAGCTGGGACTACAGGTACGCACCACCATGCCCGGCTAGTTGTTTTTGCATTTTTAGTAGAGACAGAGTTTCACCATATTGGCCAAGCTGGTCTTGAACTCCTGACCTTGTGATCTGACTCCCTCAGCTTCCCAAAGTGCTGGGACAACAGGAGTGAGCCACTGCACCCAGCCAGAAAGGACTTCTTAAATAAAACATAAACCATAAAGGAAATGCATAAAAATAAATTTTTTTATGCAAATAAAATGCCATAAATAAGTCTAAAATTAAACTATAAACTAGATGATCTGCAATGCACATAGCTGACAAAGATTCACATTCAGACTTGCAAATCAATAAAAACCAATCAGCTGGGCACAGTGGCTCATGCCTGTGATCCTAGCACTTTGGGAGGCCGAGGTGGGGGCGATCACTTGAGGCCAGGAGTTCAATACCAGCCTGGCCAACATGGTGAAACCCCGTCTCTACTAAAAATGCAAAAATTAGCTGGGTGTAATGGTGGGCACCTGTAATTCCAGCTACTTTGGAGATAGAGGCAGGAGAATCACTTGAACCCAGGAAGTAGAGGTTGCAGTGAGTCAAGATGGCACCACTGCACTCCAGCCTGGATGACAGAGTGAGACTCTGTCTCCAGAAAAAAAAAAAAAAAAAAAAAAAAAAAGGAACTTTTGGGCACAAGCAATCCTCCTGCCTTGGCCTCTCAAAGTGTTGGGATTACAGGCATGAGCCAAAACATGCCCAGCCAATTTATTTTGCTTATTTATTTCTTTATTTGCTCTGACTCTCCCCTTAACTAGAACATAAAATCTGTGAAATAAGACACTATGCCAGCCTCATTCACCACAAAATCCCCAGCATTGTGAATGCTTGGTAAACAGTAAGTGTTCAATAAAAATCCAATGTTAAATGAATGCCGGAAGTCAAGCCTCAGAGCACCTTAAGGGGAGATGTTTCATCCTTGCAGAGAAGCCAGGCTACATATGGACTGTAAAGTCAAGCCCCGGTCTCACTGAGTTGTCTATGGGGAAGAGGCGTGGAATGACCAATGGATGGTTCTCTTACCTGTCACAACTCTGTACCAGGGGAGTGGAGTGAAGAGAAATAAAAAACTGTACTTGGAAATCAAATTTCTATTAACAGATGTAGAAACTTTGAGCCTCTAGATTCTCTGCAGACATCTAATTAATTACCTAGCACAATCTTCTCATGCAAGTTCCTACATGAGGTACAGGAAGTAAACTTTCTAAAAGAAAAAGCATGTGAATCTCTTTTTCCAGCCTCAGGTCTTCGAGTGACAGAAGAAAGGGGACAGTGAAGAGAAAAACAAGGAGGCTCATTAAATATATTGGTTTTTGTTGTTGTCGAGACAGGGTCTCATTTTGCCACTCAGGGTGGTGTGAGCACAGTTCACTGCAGCCTCAATCTCCCAGGCTCAAGTAATATTCCTGCCTCAGCCCCCCAAGTAGCTGGGACTACAGGTGCATGCTACCATGTCAGGCTAATTTTTGTATTTTTTTGTAGAGATGGGGATTCACCATGTTGCCCAAGGTGGTCTGGAACTTCCGGGTTGAAGCGATCTGCCAATCTCAGCCCCTCAAAGTGCTGGGATTACAGGCATGAGCCACTGCACCCAGCCAATATACTGTTTTGAATACAGCTTTTGAACAGTCCTGAGAAGGGATGCCTTTAGGGAGGTGGCTTGATCAGCCAGGCTTCCAGTGGTGGTAAAGGCCACTTTCAACCTCTGGGCAATTCCAGCACTTCCCCAAGAGGCCCTGTAGAGAAGGCGTGCTTCAGAGGATGGGCTTTGGAGCTAGACTTCCTGGCCTTAAATTCCGACTCTGCCATTCACTATTTGTGTAACTTTGGGCAAATCACTGGTAGTTTTGTACCTCAGTTTTCTCGAATATAAAATAGAGGCTAATAATGATATGTACTCCACAGGGTAGCTGTGAGGATTAAATGTTTTTAAAAGACTGCACGGTGGCTGATGCCTGTAATCCCAGCACTTTGGAAGGCCAAGGTAAGTGAACTGCTTGAGACCAAGAGAGCAAGAGTTCAAGACCAACCTGGTCAATATGGTGAAACCCTTGTCTCTACTAAAAATAGAAATTAGCTGAGCGTGGTGGCACACGCCTATAGCCCCAGCTACTCGAGAGGCTCAGGCAGAAGAATCACTTGAACCTAGGGGGCAGAGGTTGCAGTGAGTGTGATGGTGCCACTGTACTCTAGCCTGGGTGACAGAGTGAGACTCTGTCTCAAAAAAAAAGTTTTAAAACATGCAAAATATTAGCTGGGTGCAGTAGCTCACGCCTATAATCCCAGCACTTTGGGAGGCTGAGGCGGGTGGATCACGAGGTCAAGAGATCGAGACCATCCTGGTCAACAAGATGAAACCCCGTCTCTACTAAAAATACAAAAATTAGCTGGGCATGGTGGTGCGTGCCTGTAGTCCCAGCTACTCAGGAGGCTGAGGCAGGAGAATTGCTTGAACCAAGGAGGCGGAGGTTGCGGTGAGCCGAGATCGCGCCATTGCACTCCAGCCTAGGTAAGAAGAGCAAAATTCCGTCTCAAAAAAAAAAAAAGGCAATGATTTTAAGTCCGGGCATGGTGGCTCACGCCTATAATCCCAGCACTTTGGGAGGCCGAGGCAGGCGGATCACGAGGTCAAGAGATCAAGACCATTCTGGCCATGGTGAAACCCCATCTCTACTAAAAATACAAAAATTAGCCAGGCATGGTGGCGTGTGCCTGTGGTCCCAGCTACTCGGGAGGCTGAGGCAGAAGAATCGCTTGAACCCCGGCGGAGGTTGCAGTGAGCCAAGATTGCGCCACTGCAATCCAGCCTGGCGACAGAGTAAGACTCCATCTCAAAAAAAAAAAAAAAAAAAAACCATGCAAAATATTTAGAATAACCCCTAAAACAAAGCAAGTCCTCATTAAACTGTGGCTTTTATTGTAATTATTCATCTGGGAGAGAAGGAACTTTTGGAAAAAATGGCAGCCCTGGAGGCTTAGATGATTAAATCATTAGCTAACAAGTCAGAGACAACGTGAAACAGAGGGAAAGCACTAGACCAAATATCAAAATGCCTGTTGGAGCAGAGATTGCTAGTTACATCCCAATCCGGTCTTCCCTTCTTTTGCAAAATAACTGATTTTTAGCTAAGAGTGCATGTGTGCGTGTGTGTTGGACGCAGGGTCTCAATCTGTCCCCCAGGGATGGAATACAGTGGCATGATCCTAGCTCACTGCAGCCTCAAACTCCTTGGCTCCAGTGATCCTCCTGTCTCAGCCTCTAGAGTAGCTAGCATTACAGGTACATGCTACCATGTCTGGCTAATAGCTGGGTACATTTCTGCCAGCCAGCAGCCAGGTGACTATACTTTCAGCCTTCTCTGCAGCTAGGATAGCCATGTTACTCTTGAGATATTTATAAATAGAACTTTTATATAAAACCTTAAAGTCTCTTTAAATGTATGGGGCATATCCTTTCTGTTTTCTTCCTCCATTAAGCTGACTGCTGATGCTCTGTTAGCCATCTTGGGATGGAACCACATCCTAGGATGTTGTATAAGCTGAAGGCTCCAGTGTCTGCCAACCTGGGGAAGCAAAGCAGTAGAGCCTAAACACTAGCCCTGGACTGCCTATGTCTAAACTCTTGATATGAGTGGATAAAACTATATGTTTAGGCCTCTTATTCACCTAAAACTAATATTAAATCATATGTCAGGGTTCTGACCTAGTATTGCCATATAATTTCAGATAAATCAGTCTAAGTCTTAATCTTCTCAGTTGTAAAATGTGATAATGCTCAATTTGAGAAGCCGCGGTGTGTGAATCACAAAGGTCAGGAGTTTGAGACCAGTCTGGCCAATATGGTGAAACCCGTCTCTATTAAAAATACAAAAAGTAGCTGGGCATGGTGGCGCACACCTGTAATCTCAGCTACTTGGGAGGCTGAGGCAGGAGAATTGCTTGAATCCAGTAGGCGAAGGTTGCAGAGAGCCGAGATTATGTCACTGCACTCCAGCCTGGGAGCCCAGGTAATACAGCAAGACTCCAGCTCAAAAAAATAAAAATAAAAAATAAAAAAGTGATAATGCCTCATAGAGCTGTAGTGGGAATCAAATGAAATAATACATCTTAATAGCACTATGGAAATTTCTGATGTAAGTTTTATCAACAAAAATGAGACACTGAGAACGGAAAAGCAAGAGTTAATGATGAAGGCAAAGAAATATAGAGACAAAGAAAATAACTTTTTAAAAAGTCTATGAAAAGAGACTGTGTTTATAATAGAGTAGAAAATTTCCTATAGAAGATCATGAAAATCTGTTATGTTGGAGATAATATTCTGAATTCCATTAAATATACTACTAAATTATCTCAATAGGAATCTTGTAATTTTCCACTCTGAAGTCCACTGCTTCTGATGCAGATTCATTCCTAATTAGATGGCTCCAGCTATTCAAATCCCAGTATCTCCCTCTTAGTATCCTCCCTGTCATTATCCCAGACCTGTTTTAAAAATAGTTTTTACTTTATTTATTTATTTTTTCTGAGACAGTCTCACTCTGTCACCTTGGCTGGAGTTCCATGGCATAATCTCGGCTCACTGCAACCTCTGCCTCCCAGGTTCAGGGGATTTTCCTGCCTCAACCTCCAAAGTAGCTAGCATTACATGCGCATGACACCACATCCAGCTTATTCTTGTGTTTTTAGTAGAGAAAATACATGGGGTTTTGCCATGTTGGCCAGGCTGGTCTCGAACTCCTGAACTCAGGTGATCTACCCACCTTGGCCTCCCAAAATGCTGGGAATACAGGCATGAACCACTGTACCTGGCCAAATAGTTTTAAATTGACAAACTAATTGTATATACTTATGAAGCACAATGTGATGTTTTGATAAATGTATACATGTAAAACAATCAAATTGAGCTATGTAACACATCTGTCATCTCATATACTTACTTATTTGTGGTGAGAACATTTAAAATCTTTTTTTTTGAGACAGTTTCGGTCTGTTGCCAGGATGGAGTGCAGTGGTGCGATCTCAGCCCACTGCAACCTCTGCCTCCCTGGTTCGAGTGATTCTCCTAAGTAGCTGAGACTACAGGCACATGCCACCACACCCTGCTAATTTTTGTATTTTTAGTAGAGACAGGGTTTCAACATGTTGGCCAGGATGGTCTTGATCTCTTGACCTCGTGATCCTCCTAACTTGGCTTCCCAAAGTGCTGAGATTATAGGCGTGAACCACTGCGCCTGGCTTAAAACCTATTCCTTAAGCTATTTTTAAATATAAAATACATTATTCATTCCAGTCACCATGCTGTATAACAGATCACAAGAACCTACTTCTCTTGTCTAACGAAAACTCTATCTGCTGCCCAGCATCTCCTCTTTCCCCTTCCATCCCCACCAACCCCAACCTTATAACTGAGTTATGCTTAGTGACTATCACAAAAAATATGCTTAGTGACTTTACCACAAAAAAAATGTCTAAGAGAACTTTACGGCAATAACAGAAGTAATCTATACTATGCTTGACAATACAACAGCCATCAGTCTCACGTGGTTATTGGCCACTTGGAAGTGTGACTACTGTGACTGAAGAACTTAATTTTCAATTTTATTCAATTTTCATTAACTAACTTTTGATTGCTTGATTGAGACAGAGTTCTTGCTGTCACCCAGGCTGGAGTGCAGTGGTGCAATCACAGCTCACTGTAGTCTTAACCTCTCAGGCTCAAGCAATCTTCCCACCTCAGCCCCTTGAACAGCCATGACTACAGGCCCGTACCACCATGCCCAGCACTTAAATTTTTTGTAGCGATAAGACCTCACTATGTTAGCCCATGCTGGTCTTGAATTCTTGGGCTCAATCCTCCCGCACTGGCCTCTCAAAGTCCTGGAAAGTCCTGGGATTACAGGCATGAGATAACATACCCAGCACACACACACACACACACACACGTATGTACATTTGTATATACACACATATATGTATATACGTTATATACGTATATATACACACATATACATACGGTTTCACTCTGTTGCGCAGGGTGGAGTGCAGTGGTGCGAACTTGGTTCACTGCAACCTCTGTCCTGGAGTTCAGGTGATTATCATGTCTCCATTTCCTGAGTAGCTGAAATTACAGGCATGCATACCATGCCTGGCTAATTTTTTTATTTTTAGCAGAGACAGGGTTTCACCATGTTGGCCAGGCTGATCTTGAACTCCTGGTCTCAAGCAATCTACCCACCTCGGCTTCCCCAAGTGCTGGGATTATAGGGATGAGTCACTGCACCTGACCAATTAATTTAATCTGAAGTAGACAGATGTGGCTAGTGACTGTTATCAGTCAGCCACACAGTGAAGAAATAGAAGTAAATCATGGCACTTCTTCATTCTTATCAGATCTATCTCACTTATTCTAAATATCTATGGCAAAATGTTTTCTTTTCACCTGCTCCTGACATTCCTTGGAAAGTCTCCATTTCCCGATTTGGATTTAATGATCTTTCCAGAGGAACAGATCATATGTTCAATACACACATCTCTATATATCTCTCTCTCTCTCTCTCTCTCTCTCTCTCTCTCTCTCTCTCTCTCTCTCTCTCTCTCTCCCCTAAGACAAACTCGGGGCAAACTTTACTGAACGCACCAAAACTGGATTCATGGAATCTACCAAAAAAGGCACCAAAAATGATTCAATCCCTGAAAAGTCCTCACCTTTTTTTTTTTTTTTTAAGCTTTTTTTGTGTAAAGATACCAGAAGTTCAATTATCCTTCTTGGTAAGGCCTTACATAAGTTTAGTATGTTCTTTTTATCAAATAAAACACAAGAAAAAACAGGCATGTTCTGCTTCTAGAAGATCCAATTAAGGTCAGGCATGGTGGCTGACACCTGTAATTTCAGCACTTTGGGAGGCCAAGGCAGGAGGACTGCTTAAGCCAGGAGTTCAAGACCAGGCTTCTCTTAAAAAAACAAACAAATAAAAAATCAAAATATTAGCTGGGCATGGTGGCACACACCTGTAGTCCCAGCTACTTGGGAGGCTGAGGTGGAAGGGCTGCTACTTGAACCCAGGAAGTAGAGACTGCAGAGAGCAGAGATCTTGCTACTGCACTCCAGCCTGGGTGACAGTGAGACCCTGTGTCAAAAAGGATTCAACTAAAAGAAAAGGGTTGAATCAAGGTTATTAACCATGGAAAGCTTCTTGGTACAGTTTACTACTACCAGATTAACAGGCAGGCAGGAGAAAAGCAACTCTCCAGAAGGGAGTACCAAAGGTGGTGATACCCAGAGAAATGTTTTTCTACCTCAAAAGAAACAGACTAGAACAAATCTCTGACCCTGATGACCTCTCCAGGCTGCTATTCAGGTGCTCATGTTTGAGATGTGAGCTAAAGTATAATTCCTTAAAAAAAAACCTCCTTGATGTGACGCCAAGAAGTGATGTGACAGTGCTTGCTGCAGATTTCCCTTAGAGGCACGCCAGCAAGACCTTTTCAAATGCAAATTGGCTTACTCAAGATGGCCGTCAGGTTTCCTGGGGAGGCGCTTAAAAGAAAAGGCAACACTCCCTCTGACTGACTGAGGAGTGTGGCTGACCCTGATGAAGTGAGAAAGAGAAAGAAGGGATAAGAGACACCTGGAGAGTGACCCCTCGAAAGCAGACAGCGAGTGAGACTCAGCCTGGAAAGAACTTGATGGCCCTATATAGATTCTCCGCTTGAGTCAGACTGCCTTGATCGATTGTGGCACACGCCCCACCCCCAAGCTGGCTGAGATGTTCACTGATCTCAGTACAAAATCCAAAAATGCTCTGTATCTCAAGTCAGATCCTCCTTGTCTTTACAGCAGCGGTGCCTCACTGGCTCTAACTCACAGAGCCCTCCTAAGACATGAGCACCACACTAGACACTTAGGGATGTTGCTCAGGGCTGGTCTCATGAAGCTCACAATCTAACTGTCCAGTGTGTCATCTTAAAGGTAGATGCAGACAAAAAGAGCTGAGAGATGACCCAGAACTGTGTCCACACCTGGAAAATGCCTTTGGTCTGGGTTGTTACATCACAACATGAAAATACAGTTATTTAGTAGAAGGCAGAAAAAAAACAAACAAACCCTGCAATTTCAGAAAGAAGAAAAAAAAATGCAGGGTAAAGGTAGCCAGGGGCTGGGATTAGTGAAAATGACAGTGAAAGCTTTAGATTTTTTTCAAATATGAAGGTTAGGGAAATGAGAACTGGATATTTAAACATGCCAAGATAAAGAAGCCTGTCCCCCATCTACAGAAAGTTTATTCCTATCATCTAAATAGTCATGTTTTAAAATCAACAAGTTTGCTGGTTTTCAGCTGCCACTAACCAGAACTCCCAGTGGCTGTGGCCTACCGTGTAGACAAACTGTGCCCAGTTGGACTAAATGAAGACATATCACCAGAAGTCTGCCACCGGCCTGACCCCTCCCCAGTTTCAGGAGGAGTCTGAGCAAAACACTATCCAGCTACATGAGTGGTAGACAAGATGCTTTAACATACTAGCAGCAAGGGGTGCCAAGGACCCCCGCATCTGAATCAGCAGATTTGGAGAGTAAGTGGTCTATGACTCAAGGGTTCTCTAAGAATAAGAACGGAAACTCACTAGCAAGTTCAGCAGGACTTCTGCTTTTCCCACCTCTCCCTGTCCCTGTCCACTGCTGTTACATATTCATGTCCACAGTCACAGATTTTTAAAATTTGATACAATTATCTCCTAGAAATGACTGCATGTAGCCTCTTGGGATCTAAAGCAATTAAGTGAAGATAAATTTATTTCATAGAGCAAGCTGTCAAAGGATAAAGCAATTTCATTCCCCATTTGAAGTGGAAGCTTGGGTCATGCATGGTTTATTTGAAACAATGCCATCACCTAAAGCTGCTGATCTTATCTCTAGCTCTGTTCTCCATTCCAAACTGCTGGAGATATGTAGAGTGGCATTGCCTGAAGTTATGACATCTGGCTCAAGGCCAGCAGAACAAGCCAGCTCCTCTTCTAGGTTTCAAGCGTAAGAGGACAAAAGTCATATTATAAGAAGGTAACTATATAGGTTAACTCTGTTAAACCCTAAAAAAGGGAGACGTTTCCAGGGCACTGGGAGTGACGACAGAGGCAGCCAACAATGGGAAAGTTGTGCAAAAAAGGCCAAAACAGCCCCCGAATGGGGTAGGCAAAATACTTGCCAAGGAACCAGATTCTTCTCTTCTGGGAGACACCAACCAAACAGTGAGGACTGTTTCATCAAACAGCCTAATCGATGGAAAGCATGCCAGACTGAAAATCAAGAGCTCAGGGATCCAGTATTGTAAGACCATGCGAGACTTATGGAAAAGTGCCTGTTTTTTTTTTCATTTTTTGAGAAAATGAAATTTTCTCAAAATTCTCTGTCTCGCTCTGTCACCAAGGCTGGAGTGCAGTGGCATAATCTCGGCTCACTGCAACCTCCGCCTCCCAGGATCAAGCAATTCTTCTGCCTCAGCTTCCCAAGAAGCTGGGATTACAGGTTGTGCCACCATCCCAGGCAATTTTGTATTTTTAGTAGAGACAGGGTTTCTCCATGTTGGACAAGGTCCTCTTGAACTCCTGACCGCAAGTGATTCCTGCCTTCACTCCCAAAATGCTGGGAATTACAGGTGTGAGCCACTGTTCCAGGCCTTTTTTAAAAAAGGGGTTTTTTTTGTATTTTTTTTAGACAAGTCTCACTATGTCACCCAGGCTGAAGTGCAGTAGTGCAATCTTGGCTCACTGTAACCTCTACCTCCAGGGTTCAAGTAATTCTCCTGCCTCAGACTCCCAAGTAGTTGGGATTATAGGAGCATACCACCACACCTGGCTAATTTTTGTATTTTAAGTAGAGGCAGGGTTTCACCATGTTGACCAGGCTGGTGTTGAACTCCTGAGCTCAAGTGATCCACCCACCTCAGCCTCCCAAGGTACTGGGATTACAGGCATGAGCCACCATGCCCAGCTGGGAAAGTGCTGGTTAACTAATTATTATTATTATTAAACTGTAATGGGTACTTTATTTTTGAGACAGGGTCTCTGTCACCCATGCTGGAGTGTGAGAGTGAGACCTCCGCTCACTGCAACCTCCACTTCTTAGGCTCCAGTGATCCTCCCACCTCAGCCTCCCAAGTAGTTGGGACTACAGGCCTGTGCCACCATGCCCAGCTATTTTTTGTATTTTTAATAGAGATGGGGTTTCGCCATGTTGCCTAAGCTGGTTTCCTGACCTCAAATGATCTGCTACCTTAGACTCGAAAAGTGCTGTAATTACACCATTGCACCTGGCCTGGCACTTTATTTTTAAAAATTCTTCATATACACATTGTATTCATTTTTATAACATGCAGTCAATGCACTACTTAGAGAATAGTATTCAATTTTTTTTAAAAAAAAACCACTGAAGCTCTCTTTAGGTGAAATCCATGCATGTCAGACCTTGTCTGAGCACTGCTTTTAACAGAAGTCTTGACAAACTGGAATTGGCTTTCAAGTATTGAGTGCATTGGAATCACCTGGAGAGCTTGTTAAATGAGATTGCTGGGCTCCATCTTCAACTGTTTATGAGTCACAAGGCTGAGGGAGGGTCTAAAACATTACAACTTCCCAGGTGAATCTGATACTGCTGGTATTGGCACAGAGAAATCTGGCCAGGAGAATGATCTAGAATTGCAGTGTTTAGTACAGTAGCCACTAGCTACATGTGGATATTTCAATTTAATTACATAAAAATTTGTTTTAATTGCATTAAAATTTGTTGCACTAGCCATATTTCAAGTATTCAACAGTCCCATATGGCCAGTGGCTACCATATAGGATGGTGCAGAAACCGTAACTTTCCATCATTACAGTACTAAACACTGCATCATTACAGAAATTTCTTTAATATTTCACAGCACTGGCCAAGAATCTGTTTGACTGCACTGGTTTGTTTAGCTTAGAGAAAAGAAAAAGAGAATTTCAAGTATAACTAAGGTGTGTCAGATACAGAAGAAACAGACTTTGTGATTTTATTGACTGACTGACTGAGACGGAGTTTCCATCTTGTTTCTTGTTGCCCAGGCTGGAGGGCAATGGTGTAATCTCGCCTCACCGCAACCTCTGCCTCCCAATTTGAAGCGATTCTCTTGCCTCAGCCTCCCAAATAGCTGGGATTCAGAAGTGCACCACCACGCCTGGCTATTTTTTTTCTTATTTTTTTAGTACAGATGGGGTTTCTTCATGTTGGTCAGGCTGGTCTCGAACTCCTGACCTCAGGCGATCCGCCCACCTTGGCCTTCCAAAGTGCTGGGATTACAGGTGTGAGGCACTGCACCCAGCCCCAGACTTTGTGATTTTAAGAAAACCTTTTAAAAATCATTAAGTGGGAATTACAGGAAGGCAGACTGTATTTTGAGAAGAAACTTTTTTTTTCTTTTAGAGATATAGTCTAGCTCTGTCATCCAGGCTGGAGTGCAGTGGCACAATTACAGGTCACTGTAACCTTGAAATCCTGGGCTCATGTGACCCTTCTGCCTCAGTCACTTGAATGGCTAGAACCATGTATGCATACCATACCCACTAATTTTTTAAAAGAATTTTTTATAGAAGCAGGATCTTGCTATATTGCATGGCCGGTCTTGAACTCCTGGGCTCAAGTGATCCTCCTACCTTGCCCTTTCAAGGTGCTGAGATGACAGGCACAAGCCACCTCGCGCAGTCTGAGGAGAGACTTGTTTAGTGACTATCTCATGATAAATTCTGGGGAAGTATATGAAGCAGAGGCCATTGAGGACACTGGAGGACGATTTTTTTTTTTCATTAGGTAAGAGACTAACCCTGATGTCTTCTAAGGCACCTTTTAACTCCATGGTTCTTTTGTAATCGATCGGATCCAATTTTATAGTCACAATCATTGTTCACCATTCCTTTGGAATCTAGGATAGTTTTCTAATGTATGTACTTCAGGTAGAAGAAACTTCCTCTAGTAAGGATATTTGGTGATAAACTCTGTTGTTGTTTTTTTTTTTTTTTTGAGGGGCTGGGGGAGAAAGGGTCTCACTATGTTTTCACTGGACTCCAATGCCTGGGCTCCAGTGATCCTCCTGCCTCAGCCTCCTAAGCCTTGAGAACACAGGTGCGCACCAGCTTCTCCCAATTCTTATTGTTTAAAAATGTCTTTATCACACCACAGCACAAGTAACCAAAAAAAAAAAAAAAAACAAACAGATTAATTGGACTTCATAAAAATTAAAATGTTCAAGAAAGTGCAAGGACAACCAACTCAAAGAAGGGAGAAAATATTTGCAAATCATGTATCTGATAAAGGATTGTATCCAGAATCTATAAAGAACTCCTACAACTCAAGGCTGAGTGTGGTGGCTCATGCCTGTAATCCCAGTACTTTAGGAGGCCAAGGCAGGAGGATTGCTTGAGCCCAGAGTTCAAAACCAGCCTCGGCAACACACTGACTGACTGACTGTCTGTCTGTCTGTCTCTCTCTCTATCTATCTACTCCTACAATTCAACAAAAGACAACCCAATTTTATAAGTGGGCAAATATTTGAATAGTTAGTATTCCAAAGAAATACAAATAGCCAGTGAACACATGAAAAGCTGTTCTACATCATTAATTATTGAGAAATGCAAGTGAAAATCACAACTGAGATACCACTTCACATACACTAGGATGGCTATAATGAAAAAGACAATAGTAACAAGTCTTGGTGAAGATGTGGAGAAACTAAACCCTTGTATATTTGCTGCTAGTGAGAATGTAAAATAATGCAGCTGCTTTGGAAAACCATTTAGTCTGGAAGTTCCTCCAACAGTTAAATGCAATTTACCACATGACCAAACAATACTATTTCTAGGTATATATATCTAAGAGAAATGAAAGCATATGTCCACATAAAAACTCACACACAAATGTTCATAGCAACATTATCAATAATAGCCAAAATATGCAAACAACCTAAATGTTTATGAAACTGATAAATGAATTAAAAAATGTGGGCTATTCATATAATAGAATATTATTCAGGCATAAAAAGGAATGAAGTACTGATATGAGCTGTGACATGGATGAACCTTAAAACATTAAGCAAACCAGAAGAAGCCCGATACAAAAGGCCACGTAATTACATTATTCCATTAGTATGAAACAACCAGAACAGGCAAATCTAGAGAGACCGAAAGTAGACTGGTGGTTGACAGGGGTTAGGAAGAGGGGAGAATGGAGATGACATGATAAGTATACAGTTTCTTTTTGAGGTGATGAAAATGTTCTGAAATTAGTGGTGATTGTTATATTGCTCTACAAATATAATTAACAGAATTGTGTACTTTAAAAGTCTGAACTTTATGGAATATGAATTTTATCTCAATAAATTAACATTTAAAAAGGATATTAAAATGTCTTCACTCTTATAGTTAGTAAATAATAAATTGTGTCTTTTAAAGCTAAAGGGGTTAAAAATATTCTTTTAGGTTTTTTTCTTCACAATGTCATTACGGTATAACCGAAGTGTATTAAAACTGCACATACTTAAAGGGCACAATGTGATCAGTTTGGCTGGACTGCAGTGGCTAGGTCATGGCTGACTGAAGCCTTAAACACCTGGATTTAAGGCATCCACCCGCCTTAGCCTCCCAAGTATCTGGGACTACAAGTGCATGCCACCATGCCTGACTAATTTTTAAATCTTTTTGTAGAGATGGGGTCTTAACCATATTTCCCAGGCAGGTCTTGAACTCCAGAGCTCAAGTGATCCTCCTGCCTTGGCTTCCCTAAGTGGTGGGCTTACAGGCATGAGCCACCATGCCTGATTTATCCTTTGTTTATCCTTTATAAGATAGCTTTTTGAGAATTACAATTATTTACTTGAACTATATTAAAGGCTGTGGGCTGATTTCCATGAAACAGTATCCATGGGAATTCTTTGTGGCCTGAGTTGAAGCTGCTCTTTTCCAGAGAGGATTTGTCTTTGCTTCTGCCAGTCACCCTGGGAAACTATCAGATAGAGATCACTATAAATTAAACCATCTGCTGCTCAAGGTTTTCCAGAGTACATAGGTAGTATGAATTCCAACTAAAAACTCAGGTGAAGGTTAACTCATGGTCATAAAATGCTCACAGTGAGGTTTCCTTCTCATTGGCCCTTACACTGAAGCTCTTTTGAAATCTCAGCTTTAGGGAGGGCCTCTGGTATGATTTCTCACCTAGGGTACACCCCACACTTTCAGGCCTGTTTGCTACATTCCAAGCAGCTTTGAAAGCATAAGCCCAAAGTTTCCACAATTTGACAGAAATCATCAGGGCAAGCACCAGCCAGCTTTGGCACTGGCTTACTTTTCAGAAATATTTTGTTCATTTAGTTCTTAAGATCTACAGATTTCTCGTTTTCATGCGAGCTCAGGACACATTACATTATAGTTAGCATTTCATGTTATTATTTTTATTTTTTTGGAGACAGTCTCTGTCGCTCTATTGCCCAGGCAGATCAGTGGAGTGATACTGGCTCACTGCAACCTACACCTCCCAGGTTCAAGAGATTCTCATGCCTCAGCCTCCTGAGCAGCTGGGAATACAGGCATGCGCCACCTTGCCCAGGCCGGTCTTCCACTCCTGAGCTCAGGCAGTTTGCTCGCCTCAGACTCCCAAAGTGCTGTGATTATAGGCGTGAGCCACCATGCCTGGCCTACAGGGAGCACTTTATTGTGTTAATCAAGAAGGCTGTTCAGTGTATCTAATCCTACCATCCAACAAAAAATGAAAGACCCTATTACACTCTTAGGAGTTTTAAAAACCTCATGTAGGCTGGGCACAGTGGCTCACACCTGTAATCCCAGCACTCTGGGAGGCCAAAGTGGATGAGATTACGCCACTGCACTCCAGCCTGGGAGACAGAGCGAGACTCTGTCTCACAACAACAACAACAACAATAACAAAAAGATGCATGCATATAGCATACCTTTGGATCAGAAGCCATAGAGAGGATGCTGATGTATCTTCAGAAATAAAAACAAAAAGAAAGAACAACAAAGAAGCCACAGGGAGGAAAATCCATCCTTGCTCATCCATTCTGAGCTCAAGTAGCTGACTGCTGGTAATGGACAGCATTTCTAGAAAGCACGATCGGCCCTGAAGTTTGGCTCAATGCAGATTCTACCTTTCTGCAATTGTTCCTGAGTAGATGAATGACGCTCTATCTAAATCTCAATAGCAGCATCTGAATAACTAAAACTATTACTTAGAATAACTAAAATCTTTAAGGACTCTTTCCCTAAATATTTTTCTTCGTTGAAACAAAGAAACAACAGGAGAAAATGGGTCTAGAAGATATGATTAAATGAACTAAAATAATGTATGTGGGAGCTTATAATTCTCAAAGGACAACAGTTATGCAAAAATATTATTAAGTAAAACCTAGTGAAGCATGTGAAAGCATGAATGTCAGTGCTCGGCACATACTAAGTAGTAAATATCTGTTCGATTACATAACATACTTACTTTAGATGGGCAGGTGATGGGGCCAAGGCATCCACATCCCTAAACGATGCTCAGCAGACTTTGTGACCACTTTCAGGGAAAAACTGAGTCAGAGACTTGACCCTTGCCCTAGTTCAGAGGAAGCAACCCCATACTGGGAGATAAAGAGATATGAATAAGTAGGTCACCTGTGCTCTGTTCCTCTTACCTACCAAAGAAACATACAGCCTTTGGTCTAAGACAAAAAGGTTGTAAATTTGTCTTACCTTCAGGTTTGGCAAAGAATCTCAGTAACAATGAATCTGATGGCTCAAGATGATAATGTCTAAGTCTGTTTGTTTTTTGAGACCAAGACTCTGTTACCCAGGCTGCAGTGCAGTGGCATGATTTCGGCTCACTGCAACCTCTGCCTCAGGTTCAAGTGATTCTTGAGCTCTTAAGCCCAAGAGATCTGCCCACTTCAGCCTCCCTGGTAGCTGGGACTACAGGCATGTGCCACCATGCCCAGCTAAGTTTTGTATTTTTAGTCGAAATCGGGTTTTGCCATGTTGGCCAGGCTAGTCTTGAACTCCTGGCCTCAAGCGAGCCACCCACCTTAGCCTCCCAAAATGCTAGGATTACAGGTGTGAGACATCACACCAGGCCTAAATTGTAATTTTATAGAAGCTTTACAAAGTGCTTTCATAGAGCTGATCTTTAATTCTCACAACAGCTCTTTTCCTTATTTTATTGAAGAAGATACAGAAGCATAGAGAGGTTACAGAGATATTTCATTTTTGCTTAAAAAAGAAAGAAAATCCAAAAGAAGATATATATGAGAGTTTTTGTTTGCTTGGTTTAGAAAGCTATAGGTTATAGGGGCTGGAACAGTGGCTCACACCTGTAATCCCAGCACTTTGGGAGGCTGAGGTGGGTGAATCATTTTGAAGTCAGGAATTTGGTAACGGTCTGGCCAATACAGTGAAACTCCATCTCTGCTAAAAATACAAAAATTAGCCGGGTATGGTGGCAAATGCCTGTAATCCTAGCTACTCAGGAGGCTGAGGCAGGAAAATTGCTTGAACCCAAGAGGCAGAGGTTGCAGTGAGCCAAGACTGCACCACTGCACTCCAGCCTGGGTTGACAGAGCGAAAGTATGTCTCAAAAAAAAGAAAGCTATAGTTTATAGGCCACACAAGTAGCCTATACCAATTTAGGATCAAAGCCTAGGTGGGTATAGCAGTGTACACCAACAGTCTCAGCCACTAGGATGGCTGAGGCAGGAGAATCACTTGAGCTCAGGAGTTCAAGTCCAGCCTGGGCAACATAATGAGACCCTACCTCTTAAAAAACAAAAATGCTCAGGCATTCCAAGGACAATCAACTGAGAAAGGAGAAATTATCAATGTAAAATGTACACAAGAGATAAGCACACATAAAGATGTTCAACATCACTAGTCGTTAGGAAAATGAAAAATGAAAACCCCAGTGCAATAGTACATTGCACCAATATACTCATTAGGATGGCTATTATTAAAAAAAAAAGTGTTGTGAGAATGTGAAGAAACTGAAACTCCTGTGCTCTGTTTGTGAGGATGTAAAATGGTACATCCACTGTGGAAAATGTATGACGATTCTTTAAAAAATTAAACATAGATGGCTGGGTGTGGTGGCTGGCACTTTTAATCCCAGCACTTTGGGGTGGTTGGATTGCTTGGGCTCAGAAGTTAGAGACCAGCCTAGGCAACATGGCGAAACCCTATCTGTACCAAAAATACAAAAACTTAGCTGGGCATGGTGGTGCATGCCTTTGATCCCAGCTACTTGGGAGGCTGAGGTGGGAGGATCACTTGAGCCCAGGAGGTGGAGGATGCAGTGAGCTGAGAGTGTGCCACTACACTCCAGCCTCAGTGACAGAGTGAGATCCCATCTCAAAAATAAAATAATTAAACAGAGCTACCACAGGATTCAGCAATTCTACTTTCTACTTCTGGGTATATACCCAAAAGAATTGAAAGTAGGCTCTCAGAGATATTTGTACATTTATGTTCACAGCAGCATTATTCACAAGAGCCAAAAAGTGGAAGCAACCGAAGTGTCCATTAACAAATGAAGAGGCACACAAAATGTGGTAGATATATGCATACAACAGAATATTATTCAGCCTTAAAGGCAAATGAAATTGTGCCATGTGCTACGGCATGGATAAACTTTGAAATCATTAAGTTAAGTGAAGTAAGCCAATCGCAAAAGGACAAATATTTTATGATTCCACTTATATGAGGTTCACAAAGTAGCCAAATTTATAGAGAAAGGTCAAGCACCATGGCTCACATCTGTAATTCCAACACTTTAGGAGGCCAAGGCAAGCAGATCACTCGAGGTCCAAGACCAACCTGGATAACATGGCAAACTCTGTCTCTACTAAAAATACACAAAGTAGCCAGGTGTGGCAGCAAGCACCTGTAATCCCAGCTACTTAGGAGGCTGAGGCAGGAGAATCAGTTGAACCTGGGAGGTAGGAACTGCAGTGAGCTGAGATGGCGCCACTGTACTCCAGCCTAGGTGACAGAGCCAGACTCCGTCTTAAAAAAAAAAAAAAGGTCGAAATGGTAAATTTTATCTTACGTATATTTTACCATATAGAATAAGCATGATTTAAAGAACAAGAATCATGTCTCTTCCTTAACTCCTTACCCTCTTGCCTTCTGACATTTGGAAGGTTCTGGTATTGACAACACAAGGAAAGAACAGATAAAAGCTATCCATGAACCAAGGGCTGTCCTGTGACCCTAATACACCTGGAGCAAAAAGCAGCCTAGGCAGGCTTGTAGGCACTCCCTGACATTGTGGTCTGACTGCCAAGGCCAAACACTATCCTCAGCTCTGTCTGTGTGAGATACAGAGTTAAAGAAAGAAACAACAAAGGATTCTTTCAGTTGTCTTTTCATGGGTTGGGCCTTTTCCATAAAAGAAGAAACAGAGCTGGCTCTTAGTCCTAGAGGGCGAAAACTTGCCTTACATCAAAATGTAAGTCAGTGGCAAAGCACCAATTCCAGCGTTTCAGCCCTAAGTCCATAGGACTTTCATGCTCCCACAGGAAGGATCCTACTCATGTCTCGTAATCCTGAAAGGCAGAAATGCCTGCTGGTTAATGTTCAGTTTAGCAGGAGGGGCAGAAAGGAGACATGTTAGATTCTGGAAAAACATCTCCTTTTGCCAACTGCAACCATAGTCTAGGGCAGGGGTCCCCAATCCTGGGGTTGTGGTAAAGCGAGCATGACCTCCTGAGCTCTGCGCCTCCTGTGAGGTCAGCAGCGGCATTAGATTTTCATAGGAAGAAAGTGCAAACCGTACAGTGAAGCATGTGTGTGAGGAATCTAGCCCGTGTGCTCCTTCTGAGACTCTAACTAATGCCTGATGATGTGAGGTGGAACAGTTGCATCCCGAAACCACCCAGTACTAACCCTGTGGAAAACTGTCTTCCATGAAACCAGTGCCAAAAAGGTTGGGGACAGCTGGTCTAGAGCATCAAGGGCCTAACACCAACGTGCTGAACAGATGTGAGCACTTTCTACTGTGTTCACAACATCCCCAAAGAACACAGTCAGGACCCATCTAATTAGGGGTAGCTAACCTCTAGGTGGTTATGTTCCCTTGGCCCTCAGATGCTATGGAAGTCATCAGATTCAACTTGGAGGGCCATCTTGAGATGTTCTTCCTATCACACTTTATACTGCTGCTCCCAGAAGCCAGGCAAAGGCAAATCGCAAAAGCTCTCTGCCTATACAAAGTGTGACTCTAAGGTAATAAGACGTTTTTAAAATCACAAATGAGTATCGGTCTAATTAAGATACCTGATAGTCACATTACACCAAGGCTGTGAAATACCCTTTGCCCCAATTCTCAAACCCAGATCTCACTTGAGTGTGAAGGATTTAAAAAAAAAAATCCATAACCCAGCTGTGATACTTCCTTCCACCTCTACCTGTACATCTGTTTCCTATGGCGTGCTGCTGCCTCAAGTAAGATGCGTGAGCTTCTGTAGATGCTAGGGAACAAGATGGAACAAAAATGCTTCACACCTGGCTCCCAAATTACAGGAACGCTGGACCGAGGCCAACATAAGCTGGCACAGCACCAGGTGAAATGGACATCAATTAAGGAGCCTGTCATCTTTCAAGACTGTAGGTTCTTTTTTTCACTCCACAATCTGCACTGCTCCACAAACCAGCCACAGCACCACTAGTAGGGTTTTCCAGATGGGACCATTTCCCTTATATTCCGCATTTGCAGATTTATTGCAGAATTTTTAACCCATCCCTCCATTTTTAAAGCCTGAAATATTATTCCACATTACAGTTTTATATTCAATTGAATTTATTTATCCTTAGTAAAGAGAAAGCTGTACCTTCATGAGTAGAAAAAGAAAGTTTTAAGCCTGCCTAAAAGTTGCTGCTTTGCTTACAAAAAGACATGCAAATAGCTGATACACGTGAAGGCTCAGAAATTCTCTAAATACATCGCTCCCAACTATGGTCAGAAGCCAGAGAGCCATGACCAGGCTCCAGAGAAAGCTGTACCTTCATGAGTAGAAAAAGAAAGTTTTAAGCCTGCCTAAAAGTTGCTGCTTTGCTTACAAAAAGACATGCAAATAGCTGATACACGTGAAGGCTCAGAAATTCTCTAAATACATCGCTCCCAACTATGGTCAGAAGCCAGAGAGCCATGACCAGGCTCCACTGTCCTGGAGAAATGGACAGACCTCTAGCACTAAGGCAGCTCTCCTCTGACCATCACATGCAGTGTTAGAGATCCATGTCACGTGCATAAAGAAAAAGAAACTTGACTAATGTCTAGTTAGTGGCAAATGCTGCTTAAGAAAAACACCTTAACAGGGATCAGCAATTAAAAAGCGACAAGATTCCACATAGTATCTTCTCCAGACTTTTACCCAGTGGGGCAGGACATCTTCCCTATACCTATGTGGCTACCCAGTGGAAAGAATTACATGAAACATGAAAGAGCCCCACAAGGAGAAGGTTCTGAGAATTGAATTCCACTGCCTCAGGGCCTGTATGTTGCTGCCAATTTGCTTCTCATGGCAGAACCTGGTGTGGCAGAACCCTGACTAGACTCTGCCGACGCTTGTTCGAAAGAGTCCAGCTGAAGATGCAAAAAGTTCTTCAAAGCAATGACTCCTTGGATGCTATCATTTTAGATTCTGGGAATGACTACTTATCAAAAAACTACTGCACTCTGGAATATACTATGGGCAAGAAGCTGGCCTGACATCTCGGGTATTCTGCTGGGAGTCCACCTAAGCTAGAGAGGCCTTGATAGTTTTGGAGTGATGGCAGGAAGTGAAGAACCCAGTTGAAGGTAAGAGCCCAGAATCTACATCATAGTGGGGTACAGGAGAAAGAATTGAAAAAAGCTTCAGAAAGCTGTCTGGACAACTCAGTTTGGCCGGTTCCTTATCCCCCCCTTCTTTTATTTTAAATAAAGTTTCAAAAGGGGTGGTCCGCACATCTTTCTGCTGACTAAGGTCTCAATTTCCTTATGTTCTTCTACCCAGAGAGCCTGAAACCTTCAGCTCTCAGCATTTAATCAGTCGAAACTTAGTCTCTGAAGTGAAAAGACAAGCCACAGACTGCAAGAAAATATCTGCAACACATTTGTATCTGACAAGGACTTGTATCCAAAATATAAAAAGACCTCTCAAGACTCAGTAAGAAAATAATCCGACTTAACAATAGGCAAAATATGTGACTGGACACCTCACCAAAGAAGATACACGGATAACAAATAAACATATAAAAAGATACTCAACATCATTAACTACTAGAGAAATGCAAATTAAAATAACAAGGTACCTATTATAATTATTTAAAAAACAAACAAACCGATAGTATCAAGTGCTGTCAAGGACGCAGAACAACAGGAACTGCTCATGCACTATGGTACATGCACTTTGGAAAAGAGTTTGGCAGTTTCTAGCAAAGTTAAAGATACACTTATCACATAAACCATCCATTCCATTCCTAAGTATTTATCCAAGAGAAATGAAAACTTAAGTTCATTTAAGTTTAAGATATGTAAAAACTGATGCACAAATGTTTATAGCAGTTCTACCAATGACCACCAAAAACTGCAGATAGTCCGAATATTCAACTGGTGAATGGATAAACAAATCATAGTGTATCTATTAAATGAAATACTATTCTGCAACAAAAAAGAACCTGTGACTGATGCAGCAGCCAGCATGCATGAATCTCAAATGCATTATGCTACATGAAATAAGCCATACTCAAAAGCTCTATATCAAGCTTGTCCGACCCATGCTCCATGCAGCCCAACACAAATTTATAAACTTTCTTAAAACATTATGAGATTCTTTTTTTTCTTTTAGCTTATCAGCTATCATAAATGTAGTATACTTTATGTGTGGCCCAAGACAATTATTCTTCCAAGATGGCCCAGGGAAGCCAGAAGATTAGACACCCCTGGTTTATGTACTATATGATTTTATTTATTTTTATTTTTTTAAGATGGAGTCCTACTCTACTGCCCAGCCTGGAGTGCACTGGCGCCATCTTGGCTCACTGCAACATCTGCCTCCTGGGTTCAAGCTATTCTCCTGCCTCAGCCTCCCAAGTAGCTGGGATTACAGATGACTGCCACCATGCCCAGCTAATTTTTTGTATTTTTAGTAGAAACGGGGTTTCACTATATTGGCGAAGCTGGTGATCCTGACCTCCTGACCTTGTGATCTTGGCCTCCCAAAGTGCTGGGATTACAGGTGTGAGCCACCACATCCAGCCCGTATGGTTTTATTTATACATCACTCTGGAAAAAGCTAAGTTATAGAGACAAAACATCAGAGGTTGTCAGGGACTGGGGGTAGGAAGGGGGCTGGTTGCATGAGGGAATGTTTGTGGGTGATGAAAATGCTCTGTATCTTAATTGTAGTGATGGTTACATAAAAGTATGTGTTTCTCAAAACTGTACAACAAAGAGTAAATTTTAATTTATGTAAACCCACCAAGCTTGGTTGCTGAGAGTCTCTGAGGGAAAAGGATAAACTGGGGGAGCATCATTCCAGGCTATGATTGGGGAGACCTGGAGATGCATACATCTAGAGTGTGACAGGGTGAGACAGAACCCACTTTCACCTTGAAATGAGGCAACCCTGTAAAACACACACAGATTTACTGATGTTGGAATAAAAGGAATTTTACGCCCTCTGTCCTTCAAACTTTTTCTTGTTATAGAGACAATACAACCTTCTTTAGAGATGAAAAAGGTTTGAAATCTCAGCTTGGTCTTCTTCCTCCCTTTTCATGTTCTGTTTATTTAGGCAGGAGTCTGTTTCTCCAAAGAGCAAAGCTTATATTCAAGCTGAAATCAGAGGCCTAGACTAACCAGAGGCCTGCCGGCCAGAAGGGGTTAATACAGACAGACCTTAATAAAAATGAATACTGAAACTATTTATTAATAAATAAACACCTGCTAAACTCTACTTAAAAAGCATAGGAACAGCACTGTGGCTGTAATCACAGCACTTTGAGAGGCCAAAGTAGGTGAACTGCTTGAGCTCAGGACTTCAAGACCAGCTTTGGCAACATGGTGAAACCCCATCTCTACAAAAAATACAGAAATTAGCTGGGTGTGGTGGTGTGTACCTGTGGTCCCAGCTACTCAGATGCTGAGGTAGGAGGATCCCTTGAGCCCTGGAGGGTGAGGCTACAGTGAGCATGGTCAAACCACTGCACTCCAGCATTGGCAACAAAACAAGACGGTGCCTCAAAAAAACCGAGGTGTACTCAGAGAAATCTCTCTTTTTTTTTTTTTGAAATAGAATCTTGCTCTATCACCCAGGCTGGAGTGCAGTGGTGTGATCTCCACTCACAGCAACCTCCACCTTCCCAGTTCAAGTAATTCTTCTGCTTCGGCACCTGTAGCAGATGGGATTACTGGGATTACTGGCATGCACCAACCACGCCAGGCACTTTTTGTATTTTTAGTAGAGACAGGGTCTCATCATGTTGGCCAGGCTGGTCTCAAACTCTCCTGATCTCAGGTGATCCGCCCGCCTCAGCCTTCCAAAGTGCTGGGATTACAGGCATGAGCTACCACTCCTGGACCAAGCAATCTCTGTCATGTTTTCAGTGGGAAAGGAAAAAAAAACATAAAGTATCCCTGTAATAATAAAGTTTCTCTTATTAATAAAATGACGAGGGTTAGCTACTTCCAAAGATACAGTAGGTTAAATGAAAAAGTATGCCTCTCATCATGAGGTTACATGACCATAAGAAGCAAGTAGCTTCCATGGAAAAAGATGTGTGTTACAGCAGTACTCAAAAAGCTATGAAAGCAGTTAGCTTAAAAAAGAGAACATATTCCCACTCCTACCATAGTGTCTCCTCTTCATACCTCTGCTTCACAACTTAGGCCTTCGAGCACTTCTTGGGTGATTGGAGAGGAAGGAAATGGTACAGAAACTCAGCTCTCACCGTCAAAGAGCCCAAGCATGTAAGCATATGCACACATACAAATGCAGAGAAAAGGCTTTTTCATTTAAATGGAGGAAGCTGCCATGTCTACCTCTATAAGCAAAAGTATTAATCATCCACCGTCTGGTTTTAATCCACATGCTCCTGACCCTGCATTTGAATGTATTGTTATCAGGGGAAGGAGCATTTCTGCTTAATCTTATTCACCAGCCAAAACCTGAAAATGTGAAAACCACATTGGTGGAGTACCTTCTTGGGGACCCAGAAAACTGAGCTGAGCTGCTCTTTTATTGTTTCTTCTTTCTTTCCCTTTTTAAAAAATGATGAGCAAATGTCAATTTCAGGGACACTGGGATCAGAAAGCGCTCAGGCCGGGTGTGGTGGTTCATGCCTGTAATCCCAGCACTTTGGGAAGCTGAGGCGGGCGGATCACCTGAGATCAGGAGAGTTTGAGACTGTCCTGGGCAACATAGTGAAACCCTGTCTCTACTGAAAATTAAAAAAAAAAAGTTAGCTGGGTGTGGTGGGTGGGCACCTGTAAACCCAGCTACTCCAGAGGCTGAGGCAGGAGAATCGCTTGAACCTGGGAGGTGGAGGTTGCAGTGAGCTGAGACTGTGCCATTGCACTCCAGCCTGAGAGACAGAGAGAGACTCCCTCTCAAAAAAAAAAAAAAAAAAAAAAAAAAAGAAAGAAAGAAAGAATAAAAAAGGTAAAAGCTCAAATTACAAGTCCTTCTATCTTGGAGTGACACTATCCGCAGGGAAATTAGCACTTTTTCTTCTGTATTTCCCAAAACATCCAGCCACACACAACCTGACTGACATCAGCCTGTCAGATGCAAGATTGGGCACCCAGGTGCATCCCTTTTGAGCATTTACAAATGAAATGGCAAGCCCAAACAGCAAGCCGTTCTCTCCTGTCTTTTTTTTTTTTTTTTTGAGACAGGGTCTTGATGTGTCACCCAGGCTGGAATGCAGTGGCATGATCACTGCTCACTCACTGTAGCCTCGACCTTCCAGGCTAAAGCAATCCTCCCACTGCAGCCTCCAAGCAGCTGGGACTACAAGCATGCACTACCATGTCTGGCTAATTTTTGGTTTTTTTTTTTTGGAGACAAAGTCTCACTATGTTGGCCAGGGTGGTCTCGAACTTCTGGGCTCAAGCAATCCTCCCGCTTTAGCTTACCAAAGTGCTGGGATTACAGGCATGGTGCCACCAGGCGTGCCTCCATTCTTCTAGTTCATGCCTTGCTAACAGTAAAAGAAGGGTTTAAAAAAGTGTTTGTATGTATCTAAGCACGTTTCTTCCACTGTGTTAGAAACCCTTCTCCCTCCTAAGGCTTAACCTAAAAAGGGTCCCAAAGCCCCTATGTGGGCTGAAGTACCTTCTTCAAAGCCATTAGTCACCAACTTTGCAGCCTTAACTCCAGACTGCACAAGGGGCCACCCATGACACAAAAACTCTGGCAAGATTAGGGGCTAGCAAGAGCAGAAGAAACCGCAATATGCCTGAGACTCCCAGGAGAACAATGACTAGTGCTGGTAGGGAGCAGACTGACAGACAAAGCAGACAGACTCTAACCAGGCCTCACTCTGTTTTCGATGTAACACAAATGTTTTCCATTAAAAATTCCCTGCCCCACAAACACTCATACATGCAGCTATGAAATCCACATATTTAACTTCTGCTTTCCTGGCACACTGACCCAACTACCTCTCCTGTTCCTCTGGAAGAGAGCAAAGATGAGGGTAAACGGAATTTGGTACCCCTACCACAAAGGAAAGTGGAAGAGAATTACAATTAGAAGCACACTTATTAAGTACCATCCAACCTGAGTGTGCCTGAGCAGGCCAAAGGGAAGACGGCAGAAAACAAGGACTTTCCTTTTGCCAAAACAAATCCTGTCTAGCTCTGGATCTTACTGTTTGGCTCTTAGGCTCTCAGCTTAAAGTTAGGTTTTACTTTGTAGTAAAGCCTGCAGATGATCTTCATCAGAAGGTGTTGGTTACCATTAAAATCAAAACAGGGAAAAACCTCAGAACACTCATTACAAAGTCTGCAAAATTCTAGTATTAAGAAATCTCAGGAAATGCTGGCTGATTTTTAACCTGTATTTCAAATGCTCTGAACCAGCTGAGTATTGCACTTGTGACAAGAAGCTGAACTAGAAATCCCTAAACCATCAGCAACCTCTCCCCCAACCACCAGCAGAACCTGACCCAGGTGCATTTCTAATCAAAGTCACAGAGGTGGGACACATACATGTTTGAGTAATTCCTTAAAAGAAAGAAATCACAAATAAGAATGCAAGGGAGTAATAAAAAGGGAGTGAACACTGAAGAGGAGGGAAGAAGTTAATTTTTTAAATGGCATGTAAGAAATAAAAAGGAAACCCCCTATCCAGGCAGCTCTGGAGTTCCCTAATTGCACAAGAGCAAAGGACACCCCCTGCCAAACATGTATGCCTTCTTAAGCAATTGCTCAACCTACACTCATTGTGCAATTCCAACCTTCCAAAGTTTTTTTGCTGCACATATGCAAACCATGTTTTCCTCGCATTCTAGAATTAAGAACAGTTTATCATTCGTCTCTTCACTTTAGAGAGAAGTGTATGTATGAGCCAAAAAATAAAAGTATTGCTAGATAAGCATTCCCTACAAATGAGGTTTTATATTATTTCATCTGGTTGTTTCTGAGCTTACAGGTAGTTAAGAAACACTTGAATTCACTCTTAGGCAACCAAAGATTCATTTTTCCTATTACTGACAATAATGAGATCACAAAAAATTGCCCACAAAAACATGAAACCTTCAAAAGCCTTTGTCCTAATTGATGGCAATTCGGGAATGTCTGAGGCAGTTAAAAGTGGAAGTCCCAACTGTATAGTCAAAATTCCAGTGGAAGCGCAAGCGCCGTGGCTCATCCCTGTAATTCCAGCACTTTGGGAGGCTACGGCGGGCAGATTGCTGGAGATCAGGAGTTGAGACCAGCCTGGGTAACATGGTAAAACCGTGGCTCTACAAAAACTACAAAAATTAGCCAGGCGTGGTGGCATGCACCTGAAGTCCCAGCTACTTGGGAGGCTAAAGTGGGAGGATCCCTTAGAAAACAGAGCAAGACCCTGTCTTAAAAATAAGTTTGCTGTTCAATACTATGTTTAAAAAAAAAAAAAAAAAAAAAAGGCAAACCTGTCACAGACCACAAGAAATATTCACAGGATGTATATATGACAAGTATTTGTGTCCAGAATCTATGAAGAATTATTATAACTCAACAAGAAAACACCTCCAATGTTTAAAAATGACCAACAGATTAGAGTACTTCCCAAAATGAGGATATAAGAATTGTCAGTAAACTCATAAAAAGATGCTCATCATTAATCAGGAAAATGACTATTAAAACTATGGCCAGGCACAGTGGCTCACACCTGTAATCCCAGCATTGTAATCCCGGCCAAGGCTGATGGATCACTTGAGGTCAGAAGTTCGAGACCAGTAGAGACTGGTGAAACCCCATCTCTACTAAAAATACAAAATAATTAGCTGGGTGTGGTGGTGCATGTCTGTAATCCCAGCTACTTGAGATGCTGAGGTAGGAGAATCGCTTGAACCCAGGAGACAGAGGCTGCAGTGAGCTGAGATCATGCCACTGCACTCCAGCCTGGGTGACAGAGTGAGACTCTGTCTCGAAAAAAAAATCAAAAACAAAAACAAAAAACCCATAAAACTAAAATGAGACACTACTTCACACTTACTAGCATGCCTAAAACAATAAAGATTCGAAATACCAAATGTTGGCAAGAATGTGAAGCAACTAGAATGCTCATACGTTGCTAGTAGGAGTATAAAATGGTGCAATCACTTCAGAAAAGTATGGCAGCTTCTTTTAAAGTTAGATACATACTTATGACTAAGCAATTCTACTACTGGATATTTATCCAAGAGAAATGAAAATATATGACCACAAAAAGACGTGTACATTAATGCTCACAGCATCTTTATTCATAACCCCCAAACAAAAACAGCCCAAATATCCATCATCAAGTGAATGGATAAACTGTGATATGTCCATATAATGCAATACTACTAATCTATAAATGACTGAAAAGATGCAGTGTACAATACGGATGAATCTCATAGATGTTATACTGAATGACAAAACAAAGACCTAGAAGTATAAACTATATGATTCCATTTATATGAAACTTAATAACAGGCAAATCTAATCTACAGCGAGAATAATCAGATCAGCAGTTGCTAGGGGCAGGGAGTAGAATAGGGGATAGAGGCACTCGGAAACATTTTGGGGAAAAGGAAATATTCTATATCTTGATTGAGGGGGTCCTTACACAGAATATATAAATATTCTGTATCTTGATATAGGTATATATATGCCCACACATTCAAATGTATACATTTCTTTAAATTTTTTTGTTTTTTTAATTTTTAGTAGAGATGGAGTTTCACCATGTTGGCCAGGCTGGTCTCGAACTCCTGACCTCAGGTGATCCATCCACCTCAGCCTTCCAGAGTGCTGGGATTACAGTGAGCCATCGTGCCTTGTTATATTTCATTGTATGTAAATACATATTAGTAAGTTGAAATAAAAGTAAAGGAATTAATCATAAATCTTTTGAAAAATATTTATTTTTTGAGACAAAGTCTCACTCTGTCGCCTAGGTTGGAATGCAGTGGTGTGCAATCTTGGCTCACTGTAGCCTTTGCCTCCTGGGTTCAAGTGATTCTTCTGCCTCAGCCTCCCAAGTAGCTGGGATTATGGGCACCCACCATCACACCTGCCTAATTTTTTTATTTTTTTGAGACGGAGTTTCGTGCTTGTTACCCAGGCTGGAGTGCAATGGCGCGATCTCGGCTCACCGCAACCTCCGCCTCCTGGGTTCAGGCAATTCTCCTGCCTCAGCCTCCTGAGTAGCTGGGATTACAGGCATGCGCCACCATGCCCAGCTAATTTTTTGTATATTTTTTAGTAGAGATGGGGTTTCACCATGTTGACCAGATGGTCTCGATCTCTTGACCTTGTAATCCACCCGCCTTGGCCTCCCAAAGTGCTGGGATTACAGGCTTGAGCCACCGCGCCAGGCCGATTTTTGTATTTTTAGTAGAGACAGAATTTCACCATGTTGCTCAGGCTGGTCTCAAACCCCTGACCTCTAGTGATCCGTCTGCCTTGGCCTCCCAAAGGGCTGAGATTACACGCATGAGCTACCACGCCTGGTCTTAAATTGTTGTACAATCTAAACATATGGGCTGGGTGCAGTGGTTCATACCTGTAATCCCAGCACTTCAAGAAGCCGAAGCAGGAAGATTACCTGTGCCCAGGAGTTCAAGGCCAGCCTAGGCAACATAGTGAGACTTTGTCTTCACAAAAAATTTAAAAATTAGCCAGGTGTGATGGCATGTGCCTGTAGTCCCCAGCTACTCAAGGGGCTGAGGTGGGAGGATTGCTTGAGCCCAGGAAGTTAAGGCTGCAGTGAGCCATGATCGTATCACTGCCCTCCACCCTGGACAACAGAGCGAGACCCTGTCTCAAAAAAATAAATAAAAGTAAATACAATTATGAAGTAAAAATATATATTCTTTTACATATATGAGATAATATTAGTAAAGAAAACTAAAAAGGGTGAAACAAAGTACCAGGGGAGAAATTTAAATCAATGTTTTTTTCCTCTATCATATATTCTCTTCTTAACCAATTTCTATTTCATATTTATTAAGTCTTGAGACAAAGACTGTACGTAGGCAGGTAGGTAGGATACACAGGCAGGTATGCTCACATAACTGATCTTCAGGGTTTTATTTATTTATTTTTTTGAGACAGAGTTAGGTGCTGTTGCTCAGGCTGGAGTGGCATGATCTCAGCTCCCTCACCTTCAGGTTTTATATACCAGTCATCATCATTAGTCACTGTTCATCTATAAGCAATCTTGCCTCCATTGTTTGAAGTCCAGGATACTGTCCTAACCCTTTGGTCCTTAGGCATTGCACTACCGCTACTTTCACACTTCTGCCCTTGAACACACCTCCTAAATGATGTGGATAAGACTACATATACTTAATACCACTCAGAGCACTCTCAAGTCTCAAGGATTTGCCTTAAAAAAAAAAAAAAATTCAAGTTCTCTCTTGAAAGACTCAAATTCTGGACTTTGGTACCCTTGAATCCAGGGCATTCCTCATTCTGGATTGAGGAACATTCAATCCAGAGAGAAAGATGCAGATAAATTCAGTCTGAGCATTCTATTCCACTCATATGAACTTTTCCTTCTTTGTTCATCCTCGGAAACTATTCTAAATCCCTTCAGATATCCATGAAATGAGAGAGAGAGAGGTCTAAAGAGGAGAAACTATCTCAAAGGGTGAAAACAAAAGACATGTGTAAAGCTGCCTGAGATGGCATCGTTTATAAAACAGATAAGTCAGTAACTTCCTATAAAACATCTAATGATTGAAGACTAAATAAATACTATAATATATTTATACAATACTGTGCAGCTCATAAATACATGTTATAGGTAAACATGGAAATATGTATCTATTGCTAAGTGAACAAAGTACATCATAAAACAAGACATACAGTTTGACTCTATGTACACTTCTGTGGAAGAGAAGTATTCCAGATTTTGGAATATTTGCATTTTATACTTACTGGCTGAGCATCCCTAATGGGAAAATCTGAAATCAAGCTTTGAATTTTAGTCTTTTGTATTTCAGATTTTTGGACTAGGGATATTCAACATGTACAAACTCTATACCTGAGCAGGGGATTTCAACTATCATTTGTGAGCACACTCTGGGAGGCCAAGGCAGGAGGAGCACTGGAGCTCAGGAGTTTGAGACCAGCCTGGGCAACACAGTGAGACCTTGTCTCTAATAAAAAAGTAAGAATAATTAGCCAGGTGAGGTGACCCTTGCCTGTAGTCCCAGCTACTCAGGAGGCTGAAGCAGGAGAATTGCCTCAACCCAGGAGGTCAAGACTGCAGTGAGGTATGATCACACCATTGCATTCTAGCCTGGGTGACAGAGTGAGATCCTGTCTCAAAAACACAAACAAACAAAATGGCCGAGTGTGGTAGCTCATGCCTATAATCCCAGCACTTTGGGAGGCCAAGGTGAACGGATCACTTGATGTCAGGAGTTTGAGACCAGCCTGAACAACACAACAAACTCCATCTCTACTAAAAATAAAAAAATTAGCAAGGCATGGTGGCAGGTACCTATAATCCCAGCTACTTGGGAGGCTGAGGCAGGAGAATCATTTGAACCTGGGGAGTGGAGGTTGCAGTGAGCCAGGATCATGCCACTGCACTCCAGCCTGGGCAATAGAGCCAGACTCCATCTCAAATAAAAAAAAAAAAAAAAGCTGGGCACTGTGGCTCACACCTGTAATCACAGCACTTTGGGAGGCTAAGGTGAGCAGATCACCTGAGGTCAGGAGTTCGAGACCAACCTGACTAACATGAAGAAGCCCTGTCTCTACTAAAAATACAAAATTAGCCGGGTGTGGTGGCACATGCCTATACTCCCAGCTATTCCGGAGGCTGAGGCAGGAGAATCACTTGAACCCAGGAGGCAGAGGTTGTGGTGAGCCAAGATTGTGCCATTGCACTGAGCCTGGGCAACAAGAGCAAAACTCCGTCTCTAAACAAATAAATAAATAAATAAAATATTGTAGACAAAGAAGGTATGCAGCAAGAATCTACCTAATCTGTTTGAAGCAAGTATTTTTCTTTGTTGAAAGAAATGTTAAGTGACCAGCACCAAATTTTAGAAACTAAAGTTGGGGGTCCAAGAAAACAATCTGCAATATATTAATAAAAAGGAGAATGCAGCACACAAATAGAGAAATAAAACATATTTTGGGAAAAATATACCAGATAAACAAGGAAGTACTATCTGCTATATTCTTTCAATTGAGTTTTTGTTTTGTTTTGTTTTTAAAGATAGGGTCCAGGCCGAGTGCAGTGGCTCACGCCTATAATCCCAGCACTTTGGGAGGCCAAGGCGGGTGGATCACCGAGGTCAAGAGATCGAGACCATCCTGGTCCACAAGGTGAAACCCCATTTCTACTAAAAATACAAAAATTAGCTCGGCATGGTGGTGCGCGCATGTAGTTCCAGCTACTGGGGAGGCTGAGGCAGGAGAACTGCTTGAACCCAGAAGGCAGAGGTTGTGGTGAGCCGAGATCGTGCCACTGCACTCCAGTCTGGGTAACAACAGCGAAACTCCATCTCAAAACAAACAAACAAACAAACAAACAAACAAACAAACAAACAAACAAACAAACAAGATAGGGTCTTGCTCTGTCTCTCAGGCTGGAGTATGGTGGCACAATCACAGCTCACTGCAGCCTAGGCTGCCAGGGCTTAAGCAATTCTTCCACCTCAGCCTCCTGATTAGCTGGAACTACAGGTGCAATATTACCATGCCTTGCTAATTTTTATATTTTTTGTAGGGACAGGTTTTTGCCATGTCACCAAGGCTGGTCTCAAATTCCTAGGCTCCAGTGATCTCTCTGCCTTGGCTTCCCAAAGTGTTGGGATGACCAGCCTGGCCAACATGATGAAACTCTGTCTCTACTAAAAATACAAAAAAATTAGCCAGGCATGGTGGGCACATGCCTATAATCCCAGCTACTCGGGAGGCTGAGGCAAGATAATTGCTTGAACCTGGGAGGTGGAGGGTACAGTGAGCTGAGATCATGCCACTGCCCTCCAGCCTGGGTGACAGACCCTGGGACTCTGCCTAAAAAAAAAAAAAAAAATATATATATATATATATATATATACATATATATATATATAAATAGACTGACTAAAAGGCAAGCAAAAAATAAAGGTTATAAGATGTAACGTAAGAGAACAAACAATGCAATAGCAGACTTAAAACCTGAACTAGAAGAAGAGTACAATCAACACTATAAAAATTTAAATCAATTACACAGAGAACAAACTTGAGAAACCTTCCTAGAATGCAGAAGAAAAGCAAAAACAGATTAAAATAATGACAGAAAAAGTGACCTACACAGGACAAAGAATGGAGACCAAATACATCAGGGAGAAAAATTACTGAAGAAAAAAATAGAACAGAATATTTGCACTCAAAGGCAAATAAGTTGAAGACTTCTGTGTTCAAAGATACAATGATAAAACTGAGGCCAAATCAGTGCTCTTGAAGCAATTCCTTCATTGGGATACTACCAGCTCGACAAAATTTGAAGAACTCCTCATTGTCTTTAGACTCAAATTAACTTCTGTTGCCACTCACATCTTTTTTTTTTTTTAGACGGAGTTTCGCTCTCGTTACCCAGGCTGGAGTGCAATGGCGTGATCTCTGTTCACCGCAACCTCCGCCTCCTGGGTTCAGGCAATTCTCCTGCCTCAGCCTCTTGAGTAGCTGGGATTACAGGCACGTGCCACCATGCCCAGCTAATTTTTTGTATTTTTAGTAGAGACAGGGTTTTACCATGTTGACCAGGATGGTCTCGATCTCTTGACCTCGTGATCCACCCGCCTCGGCCTCCCAAAGTGCTGGGATTATAGGCTTGAGCCACCGTGCCCGGCCTGCCACTCACATCTTTATCCAAACTAGAAAAACTTTTGCCTTATGTGTCTGGATCTTGCAGGTTGTGTTGGCAACACGTGTTTAGTAAATATCTGCAAAATAAGCATCAAGTCTGGATCAAACATGAGACTAATCTCAACCAGTAATAAAACTGCTCACACTGCTGCCACTGACGAGCACTTGATATATGTTTTACATTTCTTAGTAATGAACACTAGAAGCTGGAGGAAATGTTTATATGTTTCAAATTTCTTTCTTTTTTATTTTTTCCTCAAATAGGGTCTTGCTCTGAGACCCAGGCTGGAGTGTAGTGGCACAATCATAATAAGCCTCAAATCCCTGCACTTAAAAAAATTCTCCCATCTCAGGCTCCTGAGTAGCTGTGACTACAGGCGCTTGTTACCATACCTGGCTGATTTTGAAACTTTTTTTATAGAGACAAGGTCTCGCTATGTTGCCTAGGCTGGTTTAGAGATCCTGGCCTCAAGTGATCCACCCACCTTGGCCTCCCAAATGCTGGGGTTACAGGTGTGAACCACCATGCTTTTGCAGATTTCTAAAAGGTTAAGAGTTCCTAAAGATTCCCTGACACATCCATACTAATCTCCTAGGTTGGCCATGGAGATGACCCAAATGAGCTTAACTTCGTTCTTTTCTCTTAAGGCTCAGTATCCTTTTTTACAAAATTTGAAGGGGGTGGCTCATGCCTATAATCCCAGCACTTTAGGAGGCCAAGGCAGGAGGATTACTTGAGCCTAGGAGTTCAAGATCCGCCTGGGCAAGATGATGAGATCCCATCGCTACCAAAAAAAATTTTTTTTATTAGGCATGGTGCCACATGCCTTTAGTCCCAGCTAGTCAAATATACAAAAAAATTAGCTGGGTGTCGTGGTGCACCTGTAATCCCAGCTACTCGGGAGGCTAAGGCAAGAGAATCACTTGGACCCAGGAGATGGAGGTCCCACTGAGGCAAGGATTCCTTGTGCCCAGGAATTTGAGGTGCCACTGACTCCAGCCTGGATGATAAAGTGAGACCCATCTCTTAAAAAACGAAGGTAATAATCCTTACATGGCAGGCTTATTTAGAGAACTTAATGCAATACTGCACAGAAGTACCTAGCCTAGGGACTGACACGATACTCAGCAGATGTTATTTTCCCCTGCCATGGATGGAGAATAAAGCAGAGTAACACTTTATGTGATTATACGACGTGGCCAGGAAAGCTCTCTCTACCAAGGTGACAGTTAGAAGGGAGTGAGAGAGGCACACAGCTGAGTACAGAGTGCTCCTGGTGAAGAGAAGAGCAACTCCTAGACTCTTAGGCATGAGCACTTGGTTTGTTTGAGGAACAGCAAGGATGTCAATGTGACATACTGGGTTCAACGACAGCAGCAGGACCTGAGGTTAGAGAGCTTGGGAGTGGTATGAAGGTGGGGTCAGATTATGGAGGGCATTGTAGGCTATTGTTAAAACTCTGGCCTCTAAGTGAGAAGAGCAACCATCAGAAGGTTTTGACCTAAGAACTGACATATCTTACTGATATTTTTTAAATATACTGAAGAGGCTGGGCGTGGTGGCTCACACCTGTAATCCCAGAACTTTGAGAGGCTGAGATGAGCGGATCACGAAGTCAAGAGATTAAGACCATCCTGGCCAACATGGTGAAACCCCGTCTCTACCAAAAAATACAAAAATTAGCTGGGCATGGTTGTGTACACCTGTAGTCCCAGCTACTCGGGAAGCTGAAGCAGGAGAACTGCTTGAACCCGGGAGACAGAAGTTACAGTGAGCCAAGATTGTGCCAATGCACTCCAGTCTGGCACCTGGAGACAGAGAGACTCTGCCTCCAAAAAAAAAAAAAAAAAAGCCTGAAGGGACAAAGAACTAGAGCAAGCAGTTAAAAGGCATTGCAACCAACTGAACCGGGGTGCAGTGGTGAGACAGAATTGTATCTTTATGTATTCTGAAGGTAAAGAAGACATTAACTGCTGATGGATTTGATATGGAGGTGTGAGAAAGAAGCAAGAATAACCCTGATGAGGGTTATTCTGACACGAGCAACCCAAAAATCAAAGCTGCCATTTACCAAGATGGGGAAGAGTAAAGGAAGACCAGGTTGGCGGGTAGGAGTAGGGCCGGATTCAGGAGTTTAAATTTGGACATGTTAGGTGTGACATACCTATTTCATAGTCCTTGACGTGGAGACCTACCTGAGTCTCACTGACCTGCAACTGCACCCTAGGTAGCCTGTGGATCACTACCTAGGCTGAGGGCTGCTCTGCTGGCTCTGTGTTCTACTCGAGCCAGTGCGCAGGCATGGTACCCAACACTAAAGCTGGAAGACGGGGCATGGGAAATCTGAAACTCATCAGAGCCCTTCTAGTCAGCACCTGTCCCACACTAAAGACAGCTTCCATAGCAAACTCCCAAAAGCATCCTCTGGAACCAAGACCACCCCATGATCACAAAAGAAGAGAATGAGTAGAAAGAAGGATGACAGGTAATTTTTCTTTTTATTTGCCTGTGTTTTCCAAATTTTCTGGCCCAAGCCAGGCCATCCAGTTTCTCTTCTAACTCAACATCTTCCACAAGTATAAAACAACTTGCTAGCTGTACTCAGCCTCACAGACTACAAATCCCCATGATTTTCCCATTCTGAGACTAGAAGAGCAGAATTTCACTCTAAGTTTTTGTTTGAAAGGCATAAAGTATTCCTCTTGGGAAAGAGAGGTTCTCTGATTCCCAAGCCCCAGTAGCCATTAAATGCATCCAAAGAGTATGAGTTTTTGACGTATCAATGTCTAGAACCTTAATTTACTTAAGCAATTTAACCAAAGGGAATATATGCTAAAATTCTGATATGAGAAATTGATTCACTGTACAGTTTATAACTGTAAAAAAGTTGGGAACCTTCTCTTGGTTCAATAGAGCAAAGACTGGTTAAAGAAATCTTGGAATATAAAAGAATTCTAGGTAACTATAAAAATGACTCCATATAAGAATATATTTAAAATATTAGGAAAAAAGCAGATTACAAATAATATATACACCTGGGCATGGCGGCTCACACCTATAATCCCAGCACTTTGGGAGGCTGAGGCAGGTACATCACTTGAGCTCAGGAGTTTGAGACCAGCCTGGCAACATGCTGAAACCCCATTTCTAGAAAAAAAATACAAAACTTATTGAAGCATTGAAGTGGGTGCCTACAGTCCTAACTATGCGGGAGGTTGGGTAGGAGAATCGCTTGAGTCTGGGAGGCAGAGGTTGCAGTGAGCTGAGATTGCACCACCATACTCCAGCCTGGGCAACAGAGTGAAACCTCTCTCCAAATAAATACTACATATAAATATATAATATGACCTCCAGTTTTACTAAAAATGAAAGTGTGTGTGTATGCTACAAATTAAATATGATTTGCAAAATAATAGTGCTTTTAGTCTGAGTAGAAAGAAGGATGACAGGTAATTTTTCTTTTTATTTGCCTGTGTTTTCCAAATTTTCTATAGTGAAGAAATACTCTTTTATACCAAAGATAAGGTTTTTTTTTTTTTTTTTTAAAGAGACAGGTTTCTCATGTTGCCTGGGATGGTCTCAAACTCCTGGGCTTAAGTGATCCGCCCGCCTTGGCCTCCCGAAGTGCAGGGATTAAAGGTGTGAGCCACTGCAACAGGCCAAGAACAAGTTTTTAAACTTTTATATTCTGTATAAAGTCTCTCATAGCTGTGGTTCACATTAGGAATTTTTATTTTTTTTTTAAAACATCTACCTGTGTCCCTAGTTTGGACTTCATCTAGGTCTAAAGACCTTCTCCTGGGAAGACGTTTGTGGAACCCTCCCCAAAGGCTTCTTCGCAGGGGATGGGATGCTAACTCCTATGCAGAAATTAGTCACAGGGTATTCCCTGCCTCCTCCACACACACTTTGCTCCCAAGATCTGTGGGTGCTACTTCCCCAGCCTAGTAACTGCTATTGTGGGAACTGTGAAGCTGACTGGACTACTCTACTCTTTACCTGGCTTAAAACCCAACTGTTAAGCACAGACTAAGAGCTCCACAGTCCCCATCAGTGCAACAGGGAATGGGCTTTGTTTTCTATAAACAGACAGGCAAGAAAAACGTTCAGGTTAAAACACAGTCCTCAGAGGAAGGAAAATAGAAACCAGGCAGCGGGGAATGCTTCATGTTCCTCAAAGTTTTTTTTTTTCCTAAGTTAACACATGGTGTCTGCTTCTCTCTAGTCACCTATTTATCACTCTCCTCCTTAGAGAAGGGAAAAAGCCCTGGCTGTTTTCCTAGTGCAGAGTTTTGTGGTGGGGGGTGGGGGGAGAAGGAAGCGGGGAGAAAGGAGGGTGCTTTAAGCATGATGCAAACCATTTGGAGCTGAGTGAGAGCACTGCCAACACAAGCTGCACTATTTAAACAAGTGAGGAAATGATCGTATATACAACATGCCAGCGAGCACACACACACACACCAAAGGAAGTCGAGAGGGTTTTTTTTTTTTTTTCAGGACACAGAGCTAGATGTCAGCGGCTAAAAGGTCGATATTTTCCCTTAACACCCTTCTCAATGACTTAATCATGTTCCATTTGCACAGAAAACTTCCCAAGAATAAAAAAAGTCTGGAGAATTAAGAGGAGGGGCAAATGGGGAGGGATGTTTGGCCTGGCGCTGACCTTGTCCGAGGTTTTCTCCACGTAGCAGGGGTCCTGAGGGGCAGCCAGCAAGGGTACAAAGCCCGAGAGAAGCCGATCCTCTTCCAGGATAAGAAGGGTGAGGTCATCATCAGGGTCCTTGTACAGTGGCACCTCAGACTGATTCACTGCAGTCAGTATGTTACAGAAATCAGCCAGCGTCGACCACACATCCACAGCAACACTGTGAGAAATAAGGTAAGAAAAGAGCAGCTCTAAAGAGGGACCAGTCAAAAAAAGTATTTTCAGTACTTGTGAGCAGGGAGGTACTTGCAGCAAATGTTGTCTAGGCTGGCATCTGCCAGGAAATCAGACCCCAAATGCTAGGAAACAAAACCGTGCCCAAGGCACCAATCTGAGGTATGTGTATGTGGAGCTACGCAAAGTTGAAATTGATTAGGGGGAGTTTTTAATCCTCACCAGAGAGGAAAAAGAATTTAGAGAATCAGTTGACTAATACAGGGTCCTGTCATCTTTCCAGACGGTGTGCCTGAGATGCTTACTCAAACACTAAAGACACCCAGTGCCCAAGGGTGCTCCCAGAATTCCCCACTGCTGTCCAGTCCAGTATATGCCATACAGACAGGAACTGAGCACCAGCCTCTCCTCCTCCAGCCACAGCCATGGAGGGTCTCGTCACAATACAGAAAAAGTCACGCAGATTTTCCTCCTACAATGCTTTAGAACTCTCTTCCCTATATATAAGCAGGCAATCAATCAATCAGTCAACCTCATTTCTGGGCCATCAACATTCTCACAGGAAGGTAAAGCCTCCTACACATTTCATCAGTGCTGTTTCAGCCATTCCATGCCTCTCCTTTCTCTCATTTGTGGAAGGTTAGATACAGGGACACAGGGTGACCAACCATTCTGGTTTGTGTGGGACTGTCCTAGTTTTACCAGTGAAAGTCCCACATCCCCAGAAACCTCCCCCAGTCCTGGGCAAACTGGTATGGCTGGCTGTCCTAATTGCTATCACCAGGTCCTGATCGAACCTGAGAAGAAACCTTGAAACTGCAAAGTTTGGCTCTCCCTAACTGAAATTTTGGGGTAGAATTATTTTAAAAAGGAAAAAAAAAAAGGTTCATTTCTCTGTCACCATCACTTGTCAAAAATCGACTGTGGGTCAGATTCCTACTTCGGTGGGTGATGAGGATCCATAAACTTTTTTCTTTTCTTTTCTTTTTTTCTTGCCTGCCCAGGGATACTACAAATTGTGGTAAAGATATAGGAACTGCCAAGTCTACAGACTTGGCTTTCTTCTCCAGAGAGGCACTTAACCAGGGAGTCTGGAACAGATAGTATCCTATGGATGCTAAGTTGTACTCTGAAAGAAGAGATGTACAGGAGAATGACAAAGAAAAGCCTCACAATTAGATTCAAGAGGTAGAGTGGCAAGAGGCAGTATGTAAAGAGAGCTGTAAGAATCATCCTGGGCTGGGTGTGGTGGCTCACGCCTACAATCCCAGTACTGTGGGAACATGAGAAGGGAGGATCACTTGAGGCCAGGAGTTCAGGACCAGCCTGGGCAACACAATGAGACCCTCTCAATAAAAACAACACAGAAGAATCATCTGGAATCTCCCCAGTGGAGTTACTGCCTATGAGTCCTACTAGGGAGGGGCCTCAGATCTAAGCAATTTGTTTCTCCTGGAGACTAAGAATCTTTGGGAGATGGCAGAAAAGAAAGCATCCGAGGGATATGCCACGAAAGGTGACAGTGCGGGAGAAAGTGGAGCAGAGGTATGGGAACTCCCTGACTGGCTCCAGGTGGAAGGAGGCTGCGCTGGTTTATTTACTGTAATCATTGCACTAGGAAAAGGCAATGAAATGAAACATCTTGTTTTCAAGTGTGTCCTGGGAACCAGGCGGAACACAGCCCCATTAATCACACAACGGCACATAATCAACACACGTGTACTGCAGAAGTAACTCGCTTCACAGGCTTTACCCAGGAAAAAGAATATGTTTGGGAAGAATCACCGGAGAGACGACTTTTCTAAAGCCTCTCTCAGCGCAGACACCGACAACCAGACTCATTCACAAAGCTCCATCTTTTGGCTCAGCCGGGTTTGGCTGTCAGAAATGTTTAAATATGGAAAAAAATAAACAGTTGCAACACGTTTCTGTGCAGAGATCTGCCTGAGCTCCTTTGTGATGTAATGGGAAACGCGGCATTCAGGCTACCAGCTGTAGAATAAACAGAACTTCGAGGGTTAAAAGGAACTGAACTTTCCACGACCCCATCTGCAGAGGAGAAAATAATAAGAGGAATGATGCACTGCCCCACAGCCCTGATAGTTTATCCTCCGGTCCGGCTGCAGAGACAAGCACCGGATGTGATAGGGCTGCTCAGGGCCGCCTCCGAGGTTAGTACTGCCCATGGGAGACGCACAGGGAGGCTCTTCCAGTTCCCCGCTTCCTCCCCCAGTGCCCTGCTGGCCACTTGAGCCCACTGCCTGTGTCTGATCCCACAGCACTGGTGAGCTTTGGCCAACAGGCACTGCTCGGCTGCAGAGCAGCAATTTGGAAAATAAACAGGAAAGACGACAGTGAGAAGGAAGAAGGTGAAAAGTCTCCCAGCTGAATTCTTGGCTTGGGGACCCTGGCTGGTGCTGTGCAGGTCAAGGCTGCTACAGGATATAGTTGGGGGCTGGGGAGTGGTATGGGCAGCAGCAACCCCAGCCAGAGAGAGGCGGCTGAAAATTACCCACGGCTGCCACAGTGGGAGGCCCCACATCCCTCTCTCATCCTCCCACCCCTACCATCTTGGATCCAAGATGAAGAAATATGTGGTACCATGTGGTTCTCATTACCATGCTCTCCTGTCCCCTAAGGCTCAGATAAACCAAAACTGACTCCTCCCAGAGACTGCTGGCCACCACTAGGGACCCCTGCCCACATATGCCTTTTTGCCCATTACCACCCACTTTGTACCAAAACCTTAAGACTTGCTGCAAAAATAAGGTGGATGAGAATCACTACCTCAATGTTGATTTGTAAGACAGCAACTGATGCCAAAAGACATAGTGAGTGCCCTGAGTTCCCAACTCAGAAATATAAATAAAAGGGGTCCAAGAGCCAAGCTAGGCTGTGCAGAACCAAGGAAATATACAATATGCTTCATCATTTCTGCTCTGGTGAATTCAGACTGGTCTTGTACTCTGATGCTGAGTAGCTGCCTTCTTCTGGTATCTCAGTGGGACTACCCTAACTAAGTTCACATTTCCCATCCTCAGTTATCTCCTTTCACTGAACACCACGGACAGGAACACAACTTCTCAGAGACCCGCAGGCTACACAGTGACTCTCTACAGGAGTGAGGAAGTGTCAGGAAACTAAAAGGAAAAGGTGCTTTGAAAAACTAGGTGAGATGTCTAAACTCAAAAGTTAAGGTATTTGCAAAAGGATGAGGTAATTCCTGAAACCTGGGCAACATCACCTCAGCCTACCCAGTCAGGCCTCTGGGCTGGAGGTCAGTTCTGTGGGTGAACATAGGATTTCCTGTCTGTAGAAGGGGAAAAGCTTAGCTTCTTCCTGCTTTAGTTCCTCATCCCATCCAGAAGCACCTTCTAACCTTCACCCAACAGCAGCCCTTAGACCCTATGATTCAAGGTTGGCCTGGGCCAAGAAGCCAAAGGTCAAATTTGGGTGGCGATGAGGATCTATGAACAGGTGCCAATCTTTTGGAAATGCTTGGGAAATAACTTCCCCAAAGGTTTTTCAAATAATCTGAAATGACTTTTGATTAGAAATGGACCCTCTAGAGTGCTCTGGGCTCAGGCAGGTCGTTCCGGTTTGTTCTGGTTCAATGTAGATTTTAGGGAAACTCCCAGAGCCCATGACATCCCACTATAGAGTGGACTCTTCAAGCAGACACAAAGCAGCCACAGACTACGAAACCGTGTCCAATGAGTCTGTTTATGGCTCCCAGGATGATGGCAAGGGAGTCTCTCAGCAGCTGTGGTGTGATTAGTGAGCGGGGATCAGCAGTTGCAAGGTGACCCACTGGCTCAACCCCACAGAACACATCACACACCAGGAAAGCAGACCCCTGGCTGGAGTCTGAAAGCCAGATCCTAGTTTGGGACAAACCAACAGTGACTAGTTAGAAGTATGCACTCAGAACCAAGGCTCACTTGCTTCCCTACAGACATGCATTCACTTACTCCACTAGGAAAGGAAAAAAATAAGAGTTAATTTACTTTTTATTGCCTCAGAATTCCAAAGTTTAATGTATCTGTCAGTTTGAGTGCAGTGCAGCTGCTGGCCGATACAATGCAGCCCAGGCCAGCCCAGGTGACTGGGGAAACACATTTCACAGAAACAAACCAACACACACTCCTGGCTGGTTGTCTGGGGGATATTGACTGGGGAGTCAGATTAACCCTTCCGGCTGGGGTTAGTTCTGCAAATAGCTGTGGAAAGGGAGCTTAAGCCCAGGGAACTGAGAAGCCCTGCTCTCAGAGGGGCAGTGGGTTTCTGTGTTCCTAAAATGTTGGTTTTCTCGCAGGAGATGTTACCCAACTACAGCATCCTCTGGCAGATTACGGTATAACAGGTGAGACGTGCTATACCGCAATAATCTACCTTCTTGCCCAGAACTCAGAAAGGCGGTCTGCCAGCTTCATGGGGAAGGGGTCAGGTAGGACTTTTTCTGAAAGTTCCACTGGGGCAGGACTGAGAGGAGGAGAGAGTCTGAAAACAGTGGAGCACTAATGCCTGACCAAGACTCAGTCCATCTTTCTGGCAAGTCTAAGGAGGACCAAGCACTCACACACTACTTCATATTTTAGTGGGGGAACAAGCTGACTGGTGATTAATATCAAGTACAATGACCCCATGTTACAAGCCTGCTGGGGCCTGTGGAGGTGGCCATTTCCTGTGTAATACCAGCTTGTTTAAACACTAACATTCAGACTCCACAGCTGCAGAACAAACCCGGAAAGAGCTGAGTGAGAAGAAGCCGTGCATTG